AGATGGCTTTCAAATTTGTTCTGCAACCATGGATGGAATGTTGCTGAAGTTGAATGAGCATCGGCTTGGAATTCTGTTATGATCGACTAAAATGCCCATCATGTGGGCCATTGACAGAAATCCCTAATTTGAGACAATGAGGCCTGCCTGGTTTTCTCAAGGAACGATTGACCCTGAAGCACAGCACCAAGTCGAGGTGGGCGAAGCGTGTCCTGCGGCGGGGCCTTGAAAAGGCTGACGAAGGTACTCGACATGCACTGGCGGAACAGCTGCAAGAGGCCCAGGAACTCAGGAGGAAGGCAGAGCGCTTGGACCCTGATGACAGCAGCGCCGACAGTGATGACAGGTACAAGAATGGTTGTTCAATGGATGCCTTTCATGCTTGCAGGGACGATTGGCTGATGGCTTCTTTCCCTTTTGAGTGCCTGCGTTCCATGGATGAACCAAGACCCTTTCATTTGCAATGCGATGGCGGACATTTGAGACCTCTTGTATGTTGCTAGAATGCTCAGGAACGTTAGGTCCCTTTGTCAGTGCATCCCTGGACATGTTTCTACAGAGGCAACTGACTTAATACCGATTCCAACTCGTGTGGCATTCTGCTGGTGACAAGCTGGTGGTGTGCCCCTCCGATCCCTGCAACTTCAGGACGATGGTGAGCAGATCACCACCCGCAATGTTTGCTCAAGATTTTTGTTCATTCCTCTTAAGTCAGTCTGTGTTGTGGGCAGCACTGATCGGGGGGACGATGGTGAGCAGCATGGAAGGAATGGCGCTTATCCAAGGACCAGGAAAGCGGCCTTGGACATTCTCGAAGGAAGAGGACCAGATGAGGTTCCTTCCCATGGTTTGTTTGCACTCCCATTCATGCAAAAAGCACTGAAGAGGCGCCGTGATGAGGCTCAACAGGAAGCCAAGGTTATCCTTGACCAATTGGATCACTCTCAAGGTGGGCGATGCCTGGGAGTTGGAAGTGGTGGAGTGGGCAATTCGAACAACTAAAACAAAGGGAACCTATGGCCAATAGCTGTGCTTCAGGATGTAAAACAGTCTCGTTTGTCCACCTTTCTTGGATGCCAGGCTGGTAAAACATTTGAGTTTGTGCTGTATTACCATTGAGTAGATTGATCAATCAGCCTTGTGTGTTGGTCACAACAGTAACTGTCAGTGTTTTGTGTATTGGTTCTTTGCTACCTTTGTTTGGATGGTGCGACCTGATTGTTCACTGTGGTTATCCTTGTTGAAGTGGTGGTGACGTGGTCATAGCATTTTTCCAACTGCGCTTCAGCAGTGTACAAGATACACCACAACACTGTTCACCAGTCCAGTCATTGACCATGTCAATGCACCTGTTTGGTGTCCTCAGGTGATGGTACTAAAGAATCGAGAAGATCAACTGATGAGGAAGCTCATCAAAAGAGACAAGCACCCAGTGATGTTGAGAGGTGCTTTTTGCACGCCCATTGCCACTGGAGGGCCACTTACCATGGCACATACTTTTTCACAACAACCAGAGAGAATGGGGGCCCACATGTCCTCATGTTGCACGCCTTATTCAGTGTTGGCCATTGCGATTTATTTGTCAGCGTTGATAATGAATGTTGTGGAGGGATGTAACAGGTTTGGAACGTGTTAGTAAAAGAAAACGTTGAATTTGAGTAAGGGGTTTAAATTGTAGCAGATCGCGATTAAATTTACGCACTGACTTGATCTATAATGAACGGCAAGGGTTCAGTGACAGCGCAGTCTTACCAACGGAGGTTTGGACAGCGATCGCCGACTTTTAGCGTTGATCCAGAAGTCCGTCACTGTGCCTGGCCCAGCTACACGCACTGATGATGAAGCAATCCCTATTTTCCAATGAAATTAAATTTGAGCGTGCTTGGGACAACCTTTTCTTATGCACATTGCTGTATGCACTGCGTTCAGCAGCTGTTGTCTTTGAAGCTGGTGGCCTTGTGCTTGTGCTAAATTTTGCCAGTCCTGTTGGCACTCAATGGCTCTCCATTGTGATGGTGGCAGTGCGTTTCCTGACTCCACACTATTGTTCTTCCGTCGCACGTGAAGAACATGACTGAATGGCAGTTTTTGAATGTGCCATGGGGATGATATTTGCACTTGCATGTTTGCCTTGTCGCTGGTTTTGGCATATTGCGCATTTGGCAGCTGCACAAAGCATATAGAAGTGGTGTGTTGGCCATGCCTTGCAATGCATGGCTTGTGCCTGCTTGTCACAATCGCCAGTTGAAGCCTGTCTTCTGTTGACCACAGTGATGACGGGGATAGCGTTGATAATGGCAGAGATCCAAGGGTGAGTGCACAGCGTGAGTTGGCGTTGCGCCGTCCAGAAGTCGACCCCAAGGATTGCTTGGAGGCCTTGAAGGCTGGTCAGGTGGAGAGCAGTGTTGCTCAAGTGCATGGAACAAGGTTCCACGATGAACTGGTGGGTGCCTGCAGATAAAAGGACAGTGTGCACTGCAAGTGCATGCGGTAATACCAGTGTGCAACTGACTTGTAATTTGTTGAGGTTATTAGAAAATATACTAGAGGGAGCGATTTTTCACAATGCAGTATGCCACATCAACTACATTATAATGTTGCTTCCCTTGGCTAATGTGCAGGTGTAATGCACAGGCTCCTGTGGTTCCCATTGCCTCACGGTACCTGGGCCATCTTCTGGTCGCTCTTTCCCACCAACCAGTACGAATTGCTTTGTTTTGAAGTTTCCTTCACCTGGCATTGCAGCAACGTTGCAACTGAAGGCAGTGCATGCTCTTGGACCTTCAAACACTTGTGTTTCATCATGTGTTTGCCAAGCAGCGATTCTGATTGGGCTAATAGAAGCTCCTGCGACAGTGGTCTGGGGTGCAGCCATGGGTCCTTTGCCTGGACGGCATGCGCTGTACTTGACAAGATCTGATGTGTGCTGATCTTGTCTAATTTCATGCTGTGGTCCCACTTCTCTTCAGGACGATGTCCCCAATGCAGGCGTGGCGTCACAAAATCACCTCTTTGCTGCAAATCCATCTAACCTTCAGGCAAATGGTGGACAAGACCAACTGCACACAAACAGCACAACAGCTCACGTAAGTCCAGTGCAAGGGCAGCCCAGCCATAACACCTGATCTCAGGTGGACGAATGCTAATGCGTCTGGTGTGGAATTCAGTGTAGTGACCTTTACCTCATGGGCACAGCACTGCCTTTGTACCTTATGGATGGTGCTGGAGGGACACACGTTCATTGTGTGTGTTTCCCGCTGGATTGGGGCTTTGTAACCATCTGCTTTCACAAAGTACGTACCACACATCCAAAAGGAGCAGAAAGGAGATGAAAACCTTACATCCAGAACAGGAAATGGAACTACAACATGTGATGAAATGAAGCCATATCAGATGCAGTAGACACGTGCTGTGCTCTTGCAGCTGCGCCTTGTGAATGCGCCTTCCACAAAACCTGCTACACATATTTTGTGAGAGAGCAGCCACACTCAAATACTCACCTACTGAGCAGCAGTTGTAGTGCAGAAGTGCTTCTCCTGTGCAGCAACAATGCAACCAGGGCCAACACTACTGGTCCACATGTGCTCTCACAGAACTTAGCGAAGATTGGCATGGTTCAACGACATCATGATAATGCCCTCCATGCACCCTGCGCACTAAATAATTCAAAAAAATCTGCTCATGTCTCAGCTTGAAAATTGCGAAAATTGTTCCAACTGATCGGCAGTTAGTCTCATTCGGTTTCGCGTTATGAAGCCATGGTCTTGTCCAGCTGCACCTTCACTACTCCTTGCAGAAGCTGCAGCTCAGCGGCACACCAATGACAAACCCATGCTAGTGAACGTGGTCTAAGCTGGCGTTGATTTTTGAGTCACCTGTTCTTTTATTGTGAAGAGCGTTCTTCAAAGTTGCGAACATCCCAATTACGCTGCTGACGTGTTTCGCCCGTACTGTGCCGCACTCCTCCGCACAAGCAACTGCAATTCCACAAGCAATTTGGCCTCGTTGAAATGCATAGCTGCTGCCACATGTCTCTTGTGGCATTGGACCCATGTGTGCTGCAGTGTGTCAATATTCGCTGCAGTTCTGTCGCCTTCCGAAAAGGATTTGCGCTGAATGTCCTGACCTGGATAAGCATGGGCACTGTATGCTCCGGGCAGGTTACAGCAAATGGCTCAGTGGAAAGGGGCAAGAAAGTGCACTCTCAGCCTGCTTCAAGGATACCCGAGGTGAAGGAGCAGGAGCAGGCGGTGGTCAAGGGAAAATCCCGTGCTTCTGCTGCTGGCACTGGCGAAACAGAACCTAAGAAGAGCTGCAGTGATTCAGAAGAACAGGAGCATATGGTACCTGTGGATCCTGCTGACAAGTCACAGCAAGAATTGATAGAGATGGCTTTTGCGGGTAGGCATGTGAGATTTCCCGAACAAACTGGGTGCCCCCCAATCCGACCCTGCCCTGCCATTCTGTATAATCACTGTCCTGGCACCCAGCAGGGGACATGCATTGTAGAAGGTACAGTAGGGGTCCCTATATAGTGCCCCCCCGCGCCCCCCATTGGCACGTTCAAAAGGGGGGCGCTATTGGGGGCCAGGCGTGCTATTGTGCTATTGAGTACCCTAAGCTGCTGGCGTAAGAGGTACCCTGGCTGCCCATATAGGGGTACTCTGGTCGTCGATGTAGGGGCTACGCTACACCTGGCCTACTGTGCCCGTACTGGCTTTTGGTGCCAGCGACAAAGTCGCAGCGCCGAAGTCGCAGGCGCTGGGGCCGGTCGCAGAGAAATAAAGTATGAAGGGAACAGTGACAAGCTGTTGCACGCTCCCCCCCCCCCGGGCCCAACCCACCACCCACCCCTCGTACTAGTTTGCGGTCCCAATGCACAACAAAGTTGCATAAAGTACTGCAGAAATGGTGACAAGCCAAAATGAGGGGAGTTATTGGGGCCCGGGGGCGCTATATAGGGACCCCTACTGTACCCGCATGACACCCACATGTGACTGCACCAATGTGTATACGTATCTGTCCTTGTTGTGCTGCATCACCTATGCTGGTGCCTGGCTTTGAACTGCAGACACGAACAAAAACATACACATAAAAGGCAAAATGTACCTAAGGATAGCGGTGCTATGTGTGACTCTTAGGCGATGATGTGGAATTGGATTTCGCCGTCGAAAAGGCGAGGGACACAGAGGCAGAACTGCCCAACGTCAAGGAGCCATGCATGCTACCAGGATGGGGACGCTGGGCATCGGAGCAGCGCGAACCTCGATGGATGGTTGAGGCAAAGAAAGCTGCGCAGAGGTGACAGACGCGCTTTCCTCCAGAATCCCCTTGAGGAGGGGGGCAGGCCATTTAGCTTGCGTCGTTATTTCACATACACAATGCAAGTATGAATGCCATAGTGTGACTCGGTGTTTGCAGGGCAGCTTGTCGACTCAAATGCTTACGCATGCAACAGCTTAGAAAATGTAGCTTTAAAACGCTGATCCGCAAGTACACCATCACCAAGGGCGTCGTGTACTTTCACCATCAGCTGCCTGCATGGCGGCTGCATTGTGCGTGGCACCCTTTAACTCACCCCATGTGCGGGCATTCCTGCTTTGGCGGTCTCCTTGAACGCGCCTCCCAAATCTGTGCTCCCACGTGACAGAACGTCCACATTGAGTACTCGAGCTCTTGTCCCTCACCTCCGAAACACCCAGCCAGATGTTCCCACTGTTATGTGTGTCCCTTCCCTGCGCTAGCACCGCAGGCCAATGCTTTGCTATGACTCACTCTGAGGTACCCTCGAACTCCGCATCTAAACCGAACTTCAGCCTCCAGGGCGGGACTGCGCGGGAGTGGAACAAAAATGGGTCGGGAGACCCCGTTTGAGAACGAGTGCTGAGCCTATTGTGGCCGCCGTCGCTATTCCTCACACCACAAACGCCAGTCACCTATCAAGGTAGCCAAGCTTCAGCTGATATCCTTGAATGCATCAGGGCTCTTACGAGCCCAATGCGTTGCGTGACAGAAACCCAACAGTGCGGCTAGAAATGGTGTTTCCATGTTGACTGCTGATTCAAGCCACTGGGGCACCCCACCCTGCGTCGCCCCTGGCATAAGCCGATGAACAAGGCACTGATTTTCACGTCACAGGGAGCGAGAGGCTGCTGCCAAGAAGCGCAAGGATGCCAAGCTCAAGCACGTGATAATCACTGAAAAGGTGGACAAAAAGGCAGCGAAGTACACGGCGGCCAAGGCCCCGTTTCCGTTTACAAGCAACCAAGCCTACAACCGAAGCCTTCGGCACCCAATTGGGCAAGAGTACAACTCTATGAAGGCTTTCCGGGAATTCACCTCTGCACCGGTGAGCTGCTTCTTGCCAGCTTGGCGGATGCATCGGCGTATTGCAATTCATTCATCTGACTGTTCTTGCAGATGTCATTGTGCGTTTCAGAAAGTGCACGTTGCTGCCGTTCCTGCCAGCATTCGCGTCATGTCCAGGGTCGAGATTTGAGGACTTAGATACCCGGATTACTATATTCTGTTGTATTCTTCAATCCGGCATGTCTGCTGCTGTTCCTCGATGTGACGGATAACTGTGCCACGCTGAGGCGCGCCAAATTGGGAAGTTTGCTGTCCCCCAGGCATACTGAGCACGTTCGCATTCAACTCAGTGCATGGCTTTGGCGGAGAGGTGCAAATGAAGCCCCTAAGGCTTGCTACAGCAGTTGTCCTACCAGTTGACTGGAGTGGCTTGGCCACTGTGGCTAGGACAGCAATGCGAACCTCCATGGTTGCCAGGCGCATGATACGATTAGAAGTAGTATCTCAGTCTTGGTCTTGCCTTGCATGTGCAACAGGTTGTGAAGAAGGCCGGCGTGATCATTGATCCAATCAAGTACAGCTCAGACCTGAAGGACCGCATGGATGAGGTGCATGAGGCGCCTGCCGGGGATCTGAAGGTAGCCACCATCGTGGATGGTACGGTCAGCAGGTTTCAAACACTTTCAAGAGGGCTGGGCGGTGGCAAGGGAGGGCAAGAGAAACGAGCGAGCAGCGGCCGTTTGCAAGGAGCAAAGCAGCGCTCGACAGAGCGTTTTGCTAGCCGCAAAGTGCACAACATGGCGGTGAGGCGGTAGCTGTCGGCATGCTCATGTGGCCACCAGGTGTTCGCTGGTCGTCGGTATTTGCGAGCGGCAGGCCAGCACTTTGCGCAGTTTTAACAATGCTAGATAGGGTTTAGCTCTGGCCGGGGCTGAACCAGGACAACCAAAGTTACCTGAATTCTAGTAAAGTAGACATAGTTGTCCAGGATCGTGGCTGATCTTTGCATCAGCAAGAATAGATCATTGTATCGTTAGTTCCGTTGTGGCGACCATTATCAGTTAAATGGTTCCCAAAGTGCAGAACATTGCATGATGGACCGCGCTTGCGCTGCTGATTATATTTCCAAGGGTCATACTCCAGTATGTGCAGCCGCCGTACTTTGGAAAATGCACCTGCCAGGCTGTCCATGTGCACGAGCGCGACACCATCCCCAAACTGAAGCCGAACCAGGCGGCCGCAACAATAATGAATCAAGCTTCTTTCTTCTCTTTTGTCACCTTGTTTGCATTCTCCACGTCCATCACATGCGTTCCTCTTCCACAGGAGCATCTGTGAGACAACACGGAGATTGTTGTCAGCATACCTCATTCCCTGATTCCACCCCTTCACCACACCTTCGAGTAACAGCCCAGTCTGGCATCAGCCAGTTACAACCATCGAACTGCCCAAACGGCGTCCCTATGTCTGTGTGTCCATTTCCACCACTGTTTCAAACATACCGTGGCCACGCAGCAATTGCCAAAGCTGTTCAACTGCCATCATTACTACTATGTTACTGCTATGGCCTGCCACATTTTCTAGAACACACTGCAATTGCACACCCTGAGACACCTGGAAACATGCTTTCTGCTTCCCAGCCATTAGCCACGATCCCATGGCCTGTGACCATTATCTCGAACGTGCCTCGTCCCCACATCTGTCAGCAACACCCACAAACTGCATAGAGCGCTTCCCTGGCCATCAACCTCAATGTCCAAGTCATCAATTGCACATCGTTGCCACGGTACAATGGTCCCCCGCGTTCCTCCATTCTTGTGAAGGAAGCTGTGTTTCCAAAACATGAACACAGCGACACATCGATTTACTCTAATGTAGTACCTTCCTCTCGCTTCAGCAGTGTGACAAAATCCTTCACACTTTCAAGCGCATTCCTTGGCCCGGCGAACTCCACGCCTGGTATGTCTGATAACTTGACACTGCTGGGCATCGTGTTCTTCATCATCGACTCCATTGTCGTTCCCTCCCCCATAGCGCTCGTCAGCGCGTCGATGGGCACCACTGGGCAGTCCTGTGGGGTGTCGCGGATGGCACCAACAGGATACCCAAAGTCAGCTAGGAATGCTTTTTGCTGCTCTATGAACTTCTTCCCAGGGTTGGGCTTCCTTGAATAGATCTGCACAAAGCTGGTGTCCACAGCACCCTGCACAAGGGCATAATTGTCATAGTCTGTCCTGATGACATCATATGGCTCTGGGGGAATGAAGGGAATGGCTGGGAACCTCAGAACGCACTTCTCCTCTATCATCTCTTTCCTCTCCAGTGCGGTCTCAATGGCAGGATTCATCTTGAGCTCGGCTGGAGGGGCGCACGATACTTGGCCCTGGATTCCAGAGACACGGCCCTGCGGGCTGCCATGAACACAAAATGTGCTCACCTCCAGAGCTATCTTCCCCTTTGACATCTTCACAGCACAAACACACACGCAAAACACACTCTGTCAGTATGCCCTCAATCGACTTTTTGCTATGGGGGCTGAATGCTCCGAGGTTCATGGTGTTCAACAATTTGACACCGTGTCCATTGACGTTGCTGTTAAATGAGTTCTCTGCTAGGCATTGTGCTGGAGGAGTGCACGGAGTTTTGCACAGATATGGCAAAAACAGTCCTTGTAACGTCAGGCTGCGTGGCCAAGTGCAGTCAGTGCCAAAGGTGCATAGATGAGTGCCCAATCCATTGCCAGCAAGCATGAAAAACCGTCTGTCCAGGCCAGGGTCCCATATCTTTGCTTGTTTCAGCTGTACCATGTCCGTGCAGGGATGTCAAACCAAAGATGCACTGAGGTTGCTTGCTATATTCACTGCTGGTACACTGGCCATCCGCTAGTTCACTACCTTTTCATTGCCAAGGCCTCAGCAGTACGGGAACACATGACACCAATAATGAATCAGTGGATATGAGAAAGCGTTCTGAAGCAGACAAAATGGACGGAATCATGCTCATCATGGACTTGGCAAGGGGCAAGCATCATCTCTTCTTGTCACAATCTGACAAAAGCATGCATGGAGACAGACGGCAGCTATATTCTATCCCGTCCTCTGATGCCCTCTGGCGCCCAACAAAATCAACTTGTGTTCACGGTTTGGAAGTGATCGTCGCACTTCGCTCTCCGAAACTTTGCCCACGTCCTTGCAAGCTTCCACACAGTTTCGTGCCCCAATTTCGCTCACTGTTCGCAATTCCCTGCAAGATTCCCCCGAAGGCAAACCCACAATGGTGCAGACTACCCCGCCAGTCGTCGCCAGCGTGACGACCAGCTCCCAGATCACCAATGGTCTCCCACAACGCATCGACCATCCCATTCGCTACCATCAATGGATCATTCCTAACCACAGATTCGCCCACCCCTGCCATCGCGCGATGCCCCAGCGGAGCCTCGCCCGCGCTCGCCCCCACCTGCTTGGGCGTGTAGATCCCCTGCGTGCAGTGGCAGTCCTGTTGTCCCTCCCCCGCGAAGCCCAGCTTCAGCGACGCAACCTCGTACCATCGCCCCGTGTACCGCATGGGGTCGAACAGGTCCTCGCCGCCCTTCTTGTACTCGGCCGCCGCCGCGGCGCCCGGGAACAGCGACGCCGCCAGCGCGATCGCCGCCGACGCTGCCAGCGCGCCGGTCCAGCACGACATGAGCCGATCTTCGATCGTCGCCTGGCGATCAGTTGCAGTGATTTGGGACGGCCGGACACGCGACGCCGAGATATGGGCAGAGCGAGGCCGACGGTGGGGGAGCCAGGGGACGGGTGCGGAAGGACGGAGGCGGGGGGACTGGGATATGTTCGGCAATCCCCTCATGGCGTTCATGGCGGATGGCGGACAGGGAGACCCATGCCACGCGGGTCGCGCGGCGGGAGCGGGCTGCTCGGAGGGGCAGCCGGGGTGGCGGTGCCGGACGGGCGCGTAGAGGATCGGTGGGGCGGCCGACCGCCGCGCTTGGGCCCGCGCCGTGGGCAGAGATGCTCTTCCCGCATCGCTGATGCGCAGATGGGAAAGGGCCGCGCCGTGGCGCGGCTTGATGCTGACTCCGCATTTGGTGATTGGGGCATTACTCAACCCCACCTTCGTGCTGGGGTCACTGTCCGTTTCCCTTGGTGCCGTTGAAGGGATGCTGGCCGACTGGTGGCTCCAGATTCTCCTTGGGGCACTTGGGAAGCTAGGTCCCTCCAGTCGTCGCTGGGTTCGGCACCAGACAGTGGGCCCTCTCAAGGCAGCCCCTGCGCTGGTTCTTCAGAATCCAGGAGTCGCCTTCCCGACGGTTTCCAAACACGAGCAAGCTTTCTTCCTGTTTCACTATCAGGCACTTGCCTGTCCGCATCCCTGGGGCCCTCATGGATCACAAACACCCATGCGACAATTCGTTCACATGCCACAGCCGTTCTTACACTCGAAACTAGTAAAGGGCGTGGAACACAAACCCTCCGCCAACAAGAGAACAGAGTACTGGGGCAGGAGGCGAAAACTGGTCTCACAGACCCAGTCCACGGCCCCAACACTCCGTTTCTGAATAAGAAGTTTTCCCCAAACGTCTGCATTGCATACTTGCAAGCACAAGAAATTCTTCCAAAGCAAAATGAGCAACAAAGACTGATCACAGCCCATTGAACTTGTGTCAATGGGCCCAAAACTTGCTCACAAGATGCTTTGTGGACAGGAAATCGCAATCAGGCAATTCGCTCTCAAGTGCACAACACTCATTTGCTTCAATGAATGTCCCTCAAGGTCCCTCATCGACTTTGGCAAATGCAACAAAAATGTGCTCCCTAATGAATGCCTTTGTCCTGCTGTGCCAATGGCCTTGCTGCCTTCTGGCAAGTGGCACAGTTGCTGGAGGGCAGGACACAGCTGTCGCAACAATTCTTCTCACCATTAAGTCAACAGGACAATGGGATGAGGCTCCATGCATAGCCATGAACAGTTATTAAAGATGAGTTTCCGAAGAATGGATGGGGAGCCGAGCAATTTGATGTGCACAGTGACTTGTAGTGTAAGCTGCTAGCCAGGCAGTGCCGCCTCAGCTGAATCAAAGCAAAGATCAGTGTGTTTGCCTTGCAGTTTGAAACACGTCCATGCATCAGCAGCCATTACCACATCCAGCCAACGCAATTAAAGAATCCCAATTGTCCTGTAGCAGATTGTGAACATAGCTCAGGGGCCCAAGCAAGTTCTCTTCCAACAGATGGTGTCACCAAAGATAGCCAGGCTATGCCAACTGGTACATTCCCCTTGCGGAGACTGCTTGCAGTGCCAACAGCCAGACCCAGACCCAAGGTGCTATGCCATCGGGGAGTCTGCAGCCTGCAGCCTCCGCTGGTGGAAAGCCCCCCTTCCCCCCTCACGCTGGTTCCTCAAGTCGACGCTCCCAATTGGTTTTCGATCCTTGCAAACTGACCTCACAAATAAAGATATTTCGCCACCAAGGGCCGCAGCCATCCACTGGCGGAGGTTGCCTATTCCCACAAGCGTTGATCCCAAGTGGATTCTACGAGTTCAGGGCTTCCCTGGGCGCTCCGCACCGTCACCCCAGCCGCAGCGCCCCACCATCGCCCCTTCACCAAAGGCCCAGGAACTTCCACCAGACGCCGCCGAGGCCCAGCCACACCACCAAGTAGAAGACGGACAGAATGAAGCCGATCTTCAGCCAGTCCCCCTGGTTGACGTACCCGGAGCCAAAGTACGGCGGCGCGGAGCCGATGCCGTAGGTCGTCAGGCAGCCCATCAGGTCGGACAGCTGCCCCAGCGCGATCGCCGCCAGCTTGACGGGGGCGCCGCAGGCGGCCGCCACCGACAGGAACGCCGTGTACATGGCGCCGATGTGGGCGGCGCCCGAGGCGAAGAAGTAGTGCGAGTAGAAGTAGATGACGGCCACGAGGGCGAACGCGGCCTGCCAGCCCAGGCCCAGGCCGCCCACGACCCCCACCACCTTGTCCGAGAACCACGCAATGAAGCCGAACTTGTTGAGGTAGGACGCCATGGCGATCAGCGCAGCGAACCAGGTCAGCGTGTCCCACGCCGCGTTGTTGGACAGGCACTCCTTCCACTTGACGACGCCCGTGACCAGCAAGATGGTGAGGCCCACAATGGCCGCCGCCACGCTGTTGATCCCCAGGGTGCTGCCGAAGATCCACAGGCTGACGGTGACGAGCAGCGCGAAGCCGGTGATCTTCTCGTCCGTGGAAACGGGGCCCAGGCGGTCCAGCTCCCGCTGCGCCTGCCGGGGCGCGTCCGGCGTGTCCTTGGTCTCCGGCGGGAACAGGACGTACAGGATGGCGGGCACGGCAATCAGGCACGCCAGGCCAGGAACGATGGCCGCCTGCGCCCACACGCCCCAGGTGATGTTGTAGTTGATGGCCGACTGGGCCAGGGTCACCGCCAGCGGGTTGGCCGCCATGGCGGTGATGAACATGGCGGAGGAGATGGTGCTGGTCTGGAAGCACGTGGCCATGACGTACGCGCCCATCTTCTTCTCCGTGCCCTCTTCGGGGTCCGAGCCGCACGCCTTGCACAGGGCGCGGGCGAGGGGGAAGAAGATCCCTCCGGCGCGCGCGGCCACCGAGGGGATGGTGGGCGCCAGCAGGGCCTCGGCGAAGACCAGGGAGTAGGTCAGCCCCAGGGTGGTCTTGCCGAAGGCGGAGACGATCATGTAGGCGATGCGCTGGCCCAGACCAGACTTTTGGAAGCCGCCGGCCAGGAAGTAGGCGATGGCGATCAGCCACCTGGGGCGGGGGCGGGGCCGCAGATCAGCTGTGATCAACCGGGGGGCAGGGACCTCGAGGGATCTCGGGCGACGGGGAGGGGCCTGGTGGGGGTGGAGGGGCCGCGGTCGATCGCGGCTTGATACGGGGGAGGGGAGGAGCGCGGCAAGCGACGCGACCAGCGGACGGGCACGGGGCGGAAGGGCGCGATGCGCGCAGACCCGGGGGAACCTAAGGGAACAGGGGGCCAGGGGAGGGGTGGGGTGGTGGGCTCGCGCGTTCGCGGGGCACACTCACGGGATCTCCGTGGCGAAGGCGCTGAAGGCCGCCGAGAAAGTCAGCGTCTTGGTGAGCATGGTGGCCCCAAGCCCCAGCATGGCCACCGCGCCCAGCGGCAGAGGCGTGGTCACGATGCCTACGATGGTCCCCAGGAAGATGGACAGCAGGTGCCAGGCCTGGGATGTGACGCCCGACGGCGGCGGCGCGAACCACACGAGGGCGGACAGCCCCACGCACAGGGCCAGCTTGCCCAGGTCGGCCCCCCACTGGATGCCGGGGTCCTGGGCGGCCGGCGCCGCAGCATCAGAGGCCTCGACGTGGACGGTTGGCCGCCGAATGGGCTCCGAGGGGCCGATCGGCGCCTTGGATAGCAGGGGCCGCCGGCGATCGCCCAGCCCGGCGAGCTTCGCGCCAAAAGCGACATGCCCGGAGGGCCTGTCGGCGGACACGGCCCTCAGGGGCAGGGGCCTGGGGCCGGCCCGCGGAGCGGCCGGGCCTCGGCTGCGGAGTGCCGGAAGCCTGCAAACGCCCGCCATGGCGCGGCGGTCGGGGTGGGCTGGGGGGCGCTGGGGGAGGGCTGCGGCGGCCAACGCTGGCCCCACAGCGCAATCTGGGCGAGGACGTGAGGGGTCGATCGGGCGGGACGGGCCATGTCGCCGCTGTACGGCAAGCGCCCTCTTGGGCGAAAAAATTGTGCGTCAAAAAAAGTGGGCTGAATGATGTGCGGTGCGGAACACCCACGGAGCGCCGAGTGTGTTGCGGTGGGCGAGTAGCGGGGCTGAGGCGCGGAAAGAGGGCCCCCGCCTTGGCGCCCGCCGCCGCTGGAGCTGGGCGCACCGAGAGCTGCTCCCCGGGATGGCGGTCTCGCAGAGTGTCGGGCGCGGACCGGCGTTCCCGGGGTGAGCCGCGCTGGCGCGCGCCGGGCGATGGGCCCTGGAACCGCCGGGCCGACGGGCGACGTCTTTGTTGGCGGCCGGTCAGGACACGACAGCGCAACGGACGCGCTCTAAAGTGGATCGCTTAGACACCTTAGACGAGCTTTGTCGAGCTGTCGCTATCCCTGGCACCTCCGTCTGCCTCCTGCGCCGCTGCATTGCTCGCCCATCACCGATCCTCCCCTGGCCAGGTCGATTGAAGTTCCCGCCGACTTCAACTTGGCGACGCACTGGAGGCACTGCAGCAGGCCGGGCAGGCAGCGCTGCGACGGCACCCACCACAGGCTCGGATGCCCTTTTGGGGTGCCCCGTGATCGGCGCATCGGCGCGGTGGCGCGCGAAGCTGCCCCGCCGGGGGAGGGAGTCGCGCCGTCGGCGGACCCCGTCGGCGTCGTCGTCCGCAACGCCCGTGGCGTCGAGGACTACCGACAGCTGGCGCGGCTCAGGGCCGAGGCGTATTATGAGGTGGGCAGACGCCCTGTCGCCTCGGGCCCGTGCACGAAGAGGGGAGGGGAGGGGCTGCACGTGGAGGGCTGACGCATTCGTTCAACCAGCAAATGAGCGGTTGGCAACTCCTCAGGGAGCAGTCGAACTGTTGAGGGACACGGAGGGCACTGCGACGTTGCTGTCCGCCGCCCGATGCCACGGGTGGAAACTGGAGACATTGGTGCAAGGGACAGAAGCAGGTTTTGGCAACCTGCGATTGAGATGTTTGATGTCAACAACGCCGCGCACCATCTTGTTGATGCCCTTTGATGCTGAGTCCCTTGCTTGGGGGCGACCATACTGACGGCTCTGTTCTCTAGCTCCCCCCCCACCATGGCCGTGCATTGGGCGTCGTTTGGGGCTGCGATGTGCATCGGATGTGGCGAACACAACAAGAAGCACGGATTCCCAACCCCATTCAATGCGCAGGCCTTCTGCCTGTTGCTTCACAGTCTTTTGGCTGCTCCTGCATTAGCCCCTGTCACTTTCTTCAAAAATCTCCTCAATGGCATTTCGGCTGAAGAAGAACTGATTGTTAATGGGCAGGAAACCAGGTCGAGGTTCGTACAGTCTTTCAAGACCAAGTTTGCAAGGCAGGAAGCAGAATCCTTGACCTCAAGGACCACCACAAAGCCAACTGGCTACCCAGGGACTGTTTGCCTTGTAAGGAATGCACAAGTGCACTGCAACTGTGGCACTCAATAGTTCAGCAAAGAGCCAATGGCAATCCCTGAGCCACTACTGGAGGGCGATTGTTCTGCTGCAAGAATAGTCTGTTGTGTGGAAATGGGGCTTGTTGCTTGTTGCTAGGGTACTGCATGTCAATGGGATCTGAGCACACACTGAGCAATTTTGGTCCAGCTACCTTTGATATGCCATAGCTATTTGGTCCAGCTACCTTTGGTATGCCATGTTTTGGCCGTTTCAGCCAGTCATTGAGTGTTGATCACAAGGCAATTCAATGCCAAAGGTCGCAATGCCCCTGGTACTTGCTAAGAAAAACTGTTGCCCCCTGATATGCATGCCTACTTTCAATATCTTGAGCCTGGGCAGTGAAAATTTTCTGCGTTGGTGTTTAAAGGTTGCAACTGATGGCGATGCTTCTGTTGTGGGGGGCCTGGACGTCAGGCTGCCAAGGACACTCTCTGGCGACCATCCAGAGGGTGTCCCCACAGAAGATGGTAGCGGCTGCTTTGTGGTCAACGTTGTGGTCGATGAAAACCGTAGGGGCCAGGGGATTGGAGGGGAGCTCATGAGGGCAGCTGTGAGCATGGCAACAGATTGGGGAGCAACAAATGCCTATACCCACGTTGATGCCACCAACACGGTGAGGTCAACATGAGTGCACCAACGGAAGCCCTTATTTCTGGCATATGGCAATGTCTTCCTTGCAGCAGAAATCCACTTCAACAACGCCTCCATCTTTCAGAATTATGCAAAGCACTGCCCCTTGCATTCAGTGTGCGATGTCGGATCCATGTGCCTTCCTACATTTGTGCCATATTCACACCTGTGTTCGTCTCACTGTGCAGTATTATCAAGGATACGGTATGTGGTCTTGAGGGGACCATCCAGTCGTTAGGTTGTCTTTCTCTTGTGAATAGATGTGAGCAGAAACAGCTGCGTTGATGTGAGTTGGAGTTGTGACAACTATGGGTGTCGGCAATTGTAGATCCCGAAGCATCATGGCCATTCCTGATTTGTGCATTCAGGATGTCACATTAAACTATGAGCCATGTGGTTTAACTGAAGCTTGAGTGGTGCAGTTGTCTGAGTCCAGGGCTTGGGGTACATAAACACCTTTGATGAACGATTGGCTAGTAGTCAGCAGCAAAGAATATCAGCACAACAGTTGCAAGTGCAATGGGCCAGAATTCCAGCCTTTCAATTTGTTTGCCTTCCAGTGCTGAGCATCCACATTTGCTCGATGTTGGACACGACTCGTCTATATATAAACAGATTCAATCAACCTGTCAACAAAGGATTCTTGCATGACGCGTCCAAGGTCACAACTCTTTTCGCTGGGAAGTGCTCTTTGCTGTTTTGTGAACTTTGCGAGGGTGCTCTCAAAACTCAAACCTGCATATGCCATCATCCTCCAGACGAACCTCCCCAAGTATCCCCATTGTTTCCTCCTCTTTAGTGTTGCACAATGGTACTGAAATCAAGTAAGAATATGCCTTTTGGCAGGTTCCTGTGATCAAGTGTGGATTAATTGGTGAAACTGGCATGTGGTCATCACTGCCCCTCGATGCTTCTACACCTCGCTCTGTCCATTGTCCTGGCCATAGTTGTCACAGTGCATTTTAACCAGGAACTCACTGATCAGGGGTGGTTATGGCAGGCTGCCCTGAATCTCTACAGCAAGTACGGTTTCAAAGAAGTGTCTTGTGTGGATGCTTTGGACTCCACAGCAACACTGGGTGAGTTGCTATTCACAGCTGCTGCTGTGGATGTGTGTGCTGCTGCAAGTGCTATATCTGTTGTGGATGTCACCACTGTCCTTTGCTCCAAATGCTGTACCACACTCACAGTAGGTTTGTTGTTACTGTGAGGACGAGAGAGACGTTGCCAAGAGAATATGTGATATATTGTGGTTTATGGTATGAACTAGATATGGTGAAATGTACATGGGTACAGTGGGGACGTGAAATGGGCATGTTTACAGTGTGTGCTATTCGACTGAACGACTCATCCTGTAATGCATCTGGTTACAGCTTGGCTTCCCGTGCCTGGGAGCAACCGCGTGTGTGAGTGTCTTGGTTTTCGTCATAGCTACCAGTACTGTTACTGCTACTGTGCATGATACAGTTGCTGTTCCTTCTTTCACTTTGACAGTGTGCCATGCGCTGAAATGAGTGCTCAATCGTGTGTGATGCCAAGCAACACTGTGTCAGCCAATAGACAGAGCATTGCCTGATATGCTTAAGGCTGTGCTCAGTTCTGCAAAGATCGTTGGAAACAAGATCACCTCAAGCTCTGTATGTTGGCAGTGTACGTTTGTGGATGCTGTACCCCCATCGCAAAAGATTTTGGATCCTTGGAACTGCTCTGTTGTTCTCTCAGTATCTGGCGTGTATGTCAATCCACTGTTGCCTTTGTAGATCACGTTCTCTTGAGCAGTATGAACTGGTTTGTCAAGGTGATGACCAGGTCATTTGCATCGATGAAGATGTGTCCTGAATGGTACTGCCACGATGCGTATCTCTGCAACAACAGCCATGAATTGCAAATCCGAGGCCTCTTCCAACGCCTCTGATCACCTGTAGTGATCATCTCCAGCCATTGGCTTTGTAAGGGATTGCAAATTGACCATCGGGCTGTCAATCCGTTGCCATTTGATGGATGTGTGTTCTCTTTGCAGGGAAAACACTCCTCTTGAAGCGCCCGATGCAGCAAGTTGCCTAGGTCGATCTTTATTGTAGGTTATGGGGCAGCAGGCAACTGCCTTTGTGTGCATTCAGTAAACAGTTGACACTTCGTCATTCATTTGTGCCTAGAAACTTAATATTGCTGCCAAACATGGAGGAGGATGCTTCAGCAGTGGACACGCTGATGCTTAAACAGGGTAGCAAGAACTCCCTATAGATGTAACAGTTGCTGGTGCCCGCAAGTCTCAATCGACACTGCCCCCAAACAATGATCGTTTATGGAATACCCGTTTGCCATAAAGACATAATAATCAAGTGTATTGGAAACAAATGAACCAGCAATCCCACTCTCACTTCAAGCATGGCTGTCTGAGCATCTGGAGGAGATTGCATGCCATGGCAGCGTTCTGCAGATAACGCAGCTCTTAACACAGGCTTGGGACCACATCCACTCCGCAAGCAAATAAAAGGAACCCCTCAAGACCGACACCTGCGTCCCTGCCAGTGGTGTCATGCTGCTCGCAGCAGTCTCCTCGCCTCTGCAATGCAAAGCTCCAATGTTTGTGCCCCATCCCCGCCAGCCACCCCCACGCCAGCTGTGCCCGAACCCCTGCCAACCCCCCGTCCCTCGCTGCTCTGGAGCTTCCTGCATATGTGGTGCAATGACACCGTGACCTGCCACCGCAAGGCCTGGGGGCCATGCGCTATGTGCTGGTCTCGTGCAAAGCTGTCGTACAACTCGAGCACCTTGAGGAGGGAGTCCCCATAGACAGTGGTCAGCGCCTGGACTGTCATGAGGTTTGGGTCTTCAAGGCTGGGTTGGGCTGCGCTCCAATCGACTGGCCACATCCCAACTGCCATCTGCTCCATCCGGTAGCAGATCCACTTCGAAGGGAAGCTGGAGGACGCGGCAAAAGATGGACAGATCAGCCAGGCGAAAGAAAGTGCAGCAAAGGTGAGATGATGCGGGGGAAGTGCTGTCAATCTTGATGAAACAGAGAATTGCTGCCCTTGGACCTTTTAGGCTGTTGTGCACAATATTTGTATCCACAGAGTGTGTTCCCACCATACTTGTTCAACCCAGTCAAGGAGGAGCGCAACTGGCAGCCAACAAGTGACCATGCAAACGCATGACTCAACGGGAAATTGCGATGCGGGCGGCATGTTGCAAAGGATTCAAACAGCTACATCTTGTGCCGAGCCTGGTGCTATTGCCCAGAGCAATGCCCATTCAGTGTCGCATTTTGTTGCTCATGCGCTGCCAGTCCGCATTCGGAGCACACCATTTTGTGCTTCTGCATTGCCCTTGTTAGAGTCTGAACTGTGCCAATGGGGCATTGGCAGTTTGAAGGGCACCATTCAAGGGACCAACAATTAAGAACTTCCCATGGTGCAAACCAAGGACAGGGCATGATCGCCCCCTCACAGCAGTTGTGTGAGGTACAGCTGTAAGCTCAAGTGGCAACACTACATCTTTGCTTTTGAGATTGTGGACATGTTGGAGATCTGCCACCACAGTACACAGCCATAACTCTCCCGCTGTTGATGCTCCGTGTGATCTTAGTAATACCAACAACAACACTTGCATAACACCGTATGTGCCCAGCAGCTGCACAAGCAAAGCCTTCAACGACACATGGTAGCCCCCACCTTCAGTTGACCAGTACGTCTGCCATCCTAGAATTTGTGTCGCCATGGGATTTCAATTCAGGGGTTTGTACCATTTGCCCAACAACACCTTTGAGACGCAGGGCCAGTGCTCTGCAAATCTAGCACGTGGAAGTAGCAGAGCCAAACTACACATTAGCGGTCACACACACATGCATCCAGCCAAATTGAACATCCAGCAGGGCAGGAAGATGCACCAGTGGTACTGACCTTGGGGAAGGGTACACCTTCGACCCCAGTGCCGCCACCCTCCTTGCAACCTCTGTCGATTGGGCCTTTGTGCCGTTTCCTGCCTGCTCCTCCCAACCCTGCCTCATGAACAGATCCCATAGTTTCTTGATGTCGTCGGCGTCGAAATCCCCAGAATGGGTGCTGGTCTCAATGCAGAGATCCCACATCTGGAGCAACGAAATGGGATTGGTTGGGATCCAACACATGCACCATCGAATTGAAATGGCAGTGGCAAAATGTCTTTTTAACGCGAAGCACAGCTAGCTGCACAACATGGTGAAATGCAGCAGTCTGCTCGTATTGGACAGGGAAATTACTTGAGTATGTCACATAACTTGCACCCAACAATAACATGTGAAGACTCTTTTCCATGGTGCAGATGGGAAGGTGGACATCCCACAAGTATCTGGGGTCGTGTGACACCGCGTGGGGATATTGCTGGGCCTGATGCTGTAGGTTTGGGGTTTAGGGGAATCCGCTGATGGGGGCAGGCGTCACATGACCAAACATACCCCCAGGTGCCTGAACGACAGAACAGGGCAAGGACATCAGGACAAGGAACACGCCCTGTGGGGACCTGAATTGGCCAGGGGCGAATGTGGCCGCATTGCCACTTTCCCAGGAGGAAATGGACACGATCGATCAGGGCATACTCTCTATGCTCATTACTGGGCGATGACTGATACTGTGCCTGAACAGGTTATGCCCAGTGCCACAGAACCCTCCCTTCAGAAAGTTGGACACAGGGTGCCCCACCTTGTACTTTGTGGTGTACTTGCGAAAGAGCTCTCCAACGGGTATGAACCTCTTCTGGAGGTCTTGCAGGGCTTCCTCCCTGCCCTCCACTCCCTCGGGCACTGCCCTCATGCGCTCCAACACCTGGGACTGCATCTCAACTGCCGTCACCCTCTCCCTCATCTTGCGCTTCAACTCATCGTTGCCGGCCCTCTCAAACTGGCGGCCACACCACACCACAGATTTGCTTCAGGTGGACAAATGCTACCCCAAGCACCAAGCATGCTGCTCCATCAACTCTGCAGCAAACTTCCCATACATCATAACAAACTACAAAACAAGATCCCACCCAAATGGAGACAATTTTCGAGTCTGCCATGCGTTGGCATGTGTATGACCAGCTTGGGACAATAAACTGTGTATGCACGCATCGTCAGTTGTGGCCTCCCAGCTGCTTCTTTTACCAAACTGAAGCGAAGTGCAGTTTTTTAGGAGTGGATTTTCTGTCTCTTCACATGCAGCAATAACACGCACAAAAGAGGCAACCCACCTGAATAATCGCCCTACGATAGTAGCCGACCCTGTCATCCTGCGCCGCACCCTGCACCCCCCTGTCTCCAATCACACAGAACACATTCCCTGCATTCACACCATCCCCTCGAGCAGCATACAGTTGCCCCAGCAGCTCCGCGTGACGCAGCTGCCCAACACTGAGCGCCTTGTCCCCCCGCAGACCGGCCTCCTTTCCAAGAAAATGTTCAACGTAGGAGTGGTTGAAGCCAAGCAGTTCACTGTCACAGCCGTTCGACACCAGGAGATGGAAAAGCTCGGCCAGGAAAAGTTTGTCTTGCGCTCTGGTGGCTGCCTGACGCACAGAACAACCAAGTATTTTTGCTGCCATGGCTGCATCATGCTGTACGGAGTCACGTCAGATTTCAGCTGATATTGTCCGATGTTTTCCTATTCCAATTGATCTCCACCGGATAGAGTAGGCATTGTATTCAAGAAAGATTCTGATGTCAGTTTGAATATCCAACGTTGTTGTCCAGTGCGGCATACGTGCATTTCCGAGGCTGATCGTTGTCTACTGCATTACATGTGACAACATTCCTTGCAACACTGGTGACAACATCATATGTTTGGAATTATGAAACCCCGCTGTACAGTTGTCCTTGCTGTTGTCATTGACTCCATTGGTTAACAGCACATTTCAAAACGTTGTTGCTTCAGGATTTCGAACTGGGGGCTGCTGTGCTTCAGGCTAGTATTCTGTTACCCAGCACGGGACACGATCACCCCGCACAAATGCTGTACTCTCCAGCGTGAATGCGATTTCCTTGAAGACAAACTTTCTCACAAGTCAGTCCTGCCTATGAGTCAGCTCTGTCAATCCGCATTGGCAACCATGCATGGCCCAACAGGCACACCCTCACTTGCAGCTGGTGTCTGCTATTTTTCATTGCGACAACTATGGTGGGATCCTTGTGGACGCCTGACACTGAGAGGTTGGCTGAATCTGGGTTTCACAGGAGATACATGTTCTGACAATTGTGTCACTGGACAATGCTCGTGGGGGTTACATCTGATCCATTGTGACTGCTGTTTGTGCTGTGTGCAAGCAGGGGAGAAGGGCCACCAAAGGTTTGGATAATGAACGGAATGACCTTGAATTCATGAGTACCTGTTAGGGCCCACGAGCCAGAAGAGAACTGCTTTTCGCTGGGAAGGCAAGTGCTATCCAAGGAACTCTATCTTATTTGTGCAGTCCATCAATGCCACGAGTCTGAAATTTACAAACCACTGCACGTGTGCTTGCGGAGCGATGCAGGCACAAGCCCCACACTGAACGCCTCCAGTGGTATCCCCGTAAATGCATACTCTATCCCAATGTCCAAAATTGAATCCAGTTTCCAACTGCTGAGGTTCTTGCCTCACCAGCAGGAACTCTCGGAACAGGGTCTTGCTCTCCTCCTTGGTGACGCCCAAGGCGGCTGGGTCCTTCAGGAGGGCCGATGCCACGTGCAGTGCAGGCAGACAGCACGCCTGTCGCTCCACACGTGCAGCCTCGACATGTGGGTTTGCCTGATCTATGAATGCCAGCTCATGTGGGTCAACCTTCGCAGCTGCTGCTAGGGGAATGTCGACAACGCCCTGCAGGAAGGACGGGGTGTTAACTTTTCACAAAGGCACTGGAAAACATGTTTCTGACCGAAACAAAAGACTTCCTGCAAGGAGGTTCCCTTTCAACAAAGAAAATCAATGGTATTCGTACTGCAGAAATGGTAGAGACTGCTCTGTCGTCTCCAAAACCTGCATGCACCCTCCATTGCTCAGTTTGCTATCGCTTAAATTGTGCAGTTCTGATTCGGACAACGGCTGTAGATTATGACACCCACGGCTAAGTGCTGTCCTTGGTAAGCTCTTTCTTTTTTTAAAATTCCAATGTATTACACGCTGATCTAAGCAGGGAGCTCCCCCACAATTCGTAAACCCCTTGGTAAGCTTGAATGTGCAACAATGCTTCGTGAACATTTGCAAACTTCCTCTCTCAAGACAACTGCCTGCCATCACCTGCATGTGTTTCAACTTGAAGAGTGTTGACACAATAGAATCCAGGTTCCCTGTGAGTGGCGCTGCCAACATCGCAGACACGGCTTCATTTGTGAGCTGCCTTTGGCGGGGCCCTGGGGGCATTTTTGCAGCGGCTTTGAGCAGATTCTGGGCCTATGCGAGCACACACAGCCATGTCGAGTTGCAGGGGAGGCCAACAGAAAGGAGGTAATCTGGCATGGGTGCTGGCAGGCAAGCGCAATGCGATGTGTCACACATTGAGAAGGTACGCAACACTAGGACGTTTCACAAGTACCGAATTCTGAATGTCAATGCAATGTTAATGCCTCAACGTCTCATTGCGGATGTCTGCAATTCACAACTGTAGCAGTGCAAGCAGGTCACCCTTCGAGCTGCAGGCAGAATTGCTTGATTTGGAGTGTGGTCACAACAGAAGTATTCTGGAATTCTCAAGTTTCTCAAGTTTGCCATTTGGTACATTGGCGGCACTAAAGGCTGTCCAGGGGCAAAAGGAATTCAAAACCTTGAGGATTGGAACAGCCCCCAGCGCTGCACAACGGGTGCTTGGCCAAGCATTCGTCAGGTGGCCAGAAATACTTGCAGGTTCTTGTGACGTGTGATTCATAACTGAAGGCCTCATGACTGATGGGCAGCAGAGAAGAGGGCGTTCAGCAGACCTGGAAGTGCTGGTAGTCCTCCTCTCGAAAGAAGGATGGACATTTTTTCCGCAGCTCCACAGCAATCTCGTTCTGGTCTGTCCTCTCCTTGAGGAATTCGCGAAGGAGTGCTCCCAGTACAATGGAGCTGTGCGACTCTCCCTCACCATCACCATCAACGTTGAGTACAGAATCCAGTGTCTGCATAAAGCGTGCATCCTCAATTTCAGGTGCAACAGACCCAAATACCTCTGCAGCTTAGCAGTGTTTGATGCTAAATTGGCATACATGAGTTGGCACCATAACAAGGCCTGCAAAGAGGGAGCAAGAGGTTTTCCGCAAAATGAGGATAGGGGCTTGAAGATGAACGGCCAGCAGCATTGAAGATTCTGCTGAAGCAGCCTGCAAATGTATTTGCCTGAGGAGAGAAACCAAAAAGGATTATGGCCCCAAAGAACGACAGTTGTGTTTGTAAACTGGGATTTCGGTGGCAACCAAAGCAGCTAGCCTGGCAACAGCAATCCTGGCAACATGGATGAGTTGACAGCCACAGAGGCTTGTGAGATATACCTGGCACCCACATAAGCACAGCAGCAATGGGCACATGCGCTGGCTCATGAAACATAAGTGCCACCAGAAACGCTGTCAAGGAAGTACATACCAGAGATGTCAGCCCACGGCGCAGGCGTGCCTCAAGGCGAACCACAAGCCTCCCAATATTGTTGTGCACAAAGACACCAATCAAATGCAGGGCCTCATAAGCTCGAGCAACAAACATCCTGTAAACAATCGAAGGATCAGGCTGATTTCACAAAGTATTCTGTCTGCTGTAGATCAGGAAAAGACAAAAAGGTTTGTGTCAAATCCTTTGATTGCATTGCAGTTAGTTGAGTGGCACCGAGCTTGTGCCCATCGTGGCGATGACCTGCATGATTCCATCAAGGCTTTTGTTCTGCACTTCATTCCCACACACAATAGACAGCCAAAAAAGGATGAAAGGGATGCAACAGCAACACCGTAGTGTTGAGATTCCGCAACAGTCTATCCATAACCAAATAGTGGCTATTAACAAATAGCTAGTTCCACTCTCCCCCTCCAGTTTGGTGAAGAGCCAAGGCAGATAATCACCTAACATGCACCTGTTCTCACTCGCAGTGCTTCCACTCATTCACCCTGCCTTATTACACCTCACCAGATCCTCTATAGCAGTGCCAACACAACATATCACTGTTTATGACACGTCCTCCACTGCAGTTGGCAATCCAGCGGCTTAAGATCAATCTGCAATGGGCTGCCCAGAATTAGAGCACTTTTCAGTTAGCTCATTTGCTTCTAACTGGCGTTGTCACAGTCCATCAGTTATAAGCTTTATAAGTGGCAGGGAGAAGGGGTACAGAAAGACATCCAACCTTGAACTTTTGCTGGTATCATACTGTTTCCCCCCGTTTGCATCGCACAGAACCTTACTTGAGGTCAACGATCTCGTCGGAATGATGTGCTGACAGGGATTTCATCAGCTGGGAAAACCGCCTTTCAAGAAACTGCAAGCACACCAACATGTCTCAATGCCACGGCACCACAGGGGCAACGACTAACCTTATGACATCCTTAGTGTGTTGTTGCCGCCATTCTGACAACTACGAGCTGCCCAGGAATCCTCAAATCAGGCAAAAAGCAACGGCTGAACCTGGAGCTCCAAGTTGCATTTAGTGTTGCTGCAACAAATGACAGGGGCAATATCTTGTGGAAACAGCTGCCAGCGTTGCAATTTCTGAGGATTGGGCTGCAACATGTTCTTTTGCTCTTCTGTTTGGCACAGGCTTTCCAATGCATCCAAAGAACTTGTGTGTCAGCTCCAGCACTGTGGAAAAGAGTATCTGCCAATGCCATTGACAAGGGAAAGCACAAACCGTATAAGCTTCTTACTCGTTTGTGCAAGCATCACTGCAGAAGAAGCGATAATCTGCTTGCACGCAACTTCAAAACAAAATACAGAGTCTAAAGGAGGCACACTCAGCACTCAAAATGTCTGCTAGGCTTACTGTAGGGGAAAAAACAGAAAAAAAAGAAAACAAAACAGAGCAACTGGGTCACCATACTGTTGCCTCCAGCAGGCATGCAAAAAATGCCCTTTTGAGTACCCACCACAAGAATTGAAGTAGAGAAAGGGCAGCTTATGATGCCCTGTCCAACGTCAACAAAGAGCCTTGATCGGCGCATCGGGACCAGGAGACGGTCAATGTACAGCCGCAGACCCTTGTAGACGGCTTCTGAATCTGCTTCAATCCTTATTGTGGGACTGCCAGCGAAACGCACACCACGTGCCAATCAGCATTCCTTACATCAAACTGACAAATCACTGCCCTTGCACCTGCTTCAATCAATCGGCGCTTCTCATGTGCACAGGTCAAACAAAGAATTTTATTGCAGATTCATGGACAAAATGGGTCTGCCTGTCGGCAGTACCACAGAATAGAAATACCAAGTGCATCTCAAAACAGTGCTGGTCTCCAGAAGTGCCCCCACTAGTAATGATGCCTCCCCTTGGCACCTACTTTGCAATATCAAGTGCATTGCGTGCCCTTTGACTGTATTGGGCCCAAGGGGCTCTGGGTCGTGGGCCTGGTTTCTGCTATTCCAAGTCTGTTCTTGGGTTACTAGAATAAACAAACGATAAATGCCTTCTGGCCTGGGGCGCTATTTCAGTGTTGCCATTGGCTCTTCCTGCGCAATCATGTGAGCACCACCACTTCCTGTTCATCGTTTGCTTATTGTGTCTTGAACTTTCCACATCGGTCTTTGTTCCCTGTATATTGCTGAAAGGTAGATTAGTTTTTTTTGTTCGCAGTCGAATTGATATAATAAGGGGATGCTGGTCATGACCTACTTATTGCCTGTTGTTTGTTGTAGCAAGGAATTAGGACATCCAGAGCACACAGTTTGTTTGTTTTGGGTTTCGAGAGAAGAACATTGGGCCCCATTCAGCGCACAATTTTTCCAGGGTGTAGACATTGGAAGATTGACCCAAAATCAGTCTGGCTTAGGAACTGGCTTACTACTGCTCACTGCTGAAAATCAGTGAAATCTGGCCAACACCAAGGAATGTGCAGACACACACACACATACATGCATCTGCAATATCATTGCACCACATTGGCAACCATGCAAACTGTGCTGGCCACACAACCTGCTTAAAAGCGTGGACAAAAAGGGCTTGTCCGTTGGATTCTTTGCCGATGACACTACTCATGAAGGGAATGCTATTTTTTCAATTTGTCAACTATGATATTTGTCAATATGAATAAATAGAAAAGTACGTGCAGGGGTTAAAACGGAAGAGGCATGCATCCTTGGGATATCTCTGATCTGGTGAATTAAATTCCCAACCGCTTTTGCCAGTGCAGTATTCATCTGTTGCTTGACAAGATTCACACCAAACAGATCTAAGAGCCTTGTCATGGCAGTTGGAGGGGTGCAGCAAAAGACGTACCGTTGAAGAAGTGAAGCTGCCGCTTCTGAAATCGCCTGAATAGGCACACACACAAATGCTTGAATCCTCCAAGTCAGAGAACATGGGACAAGTAATCCATGTTTCACAAGATCAACACAGCATGTGTCCAACTTTCAGTGCGCTCTTCACTGCGCCAAAGTCCACACGTTCCATCTGGATTCAGCAGGAAACAAAACAGCTGTGGAAGCTTCTGACAATTAGCAAAAAGAACTCGATTGAGAACACACGAGTTGGAATAGGAGCTCATCGTCATAACAAGACTAAACTCCACATACACAATACTCTATTCATTGGTGAATTAGTTTGGGGTGTGAAGGGATTAATGATTGGCACATGTGACACAATACTAACACTGTTGGGAAATGTGTGAAACGGGCACTTTTCCTCACTGGAAGTGCAGCATTAAATGTGCCTACACCCTGAACCGTGGTGTGTCGCTTTCAACAGGTATTCGAAGTCCTGGATGCGATGTTCGTTTCACAGCACAAAATGAAAGGCATCGAATTTGAATTGCAGTAAAACTGACAGCATTGTGGTCTACATTGTGGCAATGGGGAACATGGCTAGTGCTTGGCACACTTCAGCTCAGATACTCAACATTGCATTTGATGCCAGGTCATGTTCCATCATTCCCTGTCACCACCCCTATCTAGTACATACACCACGTGACATCATGCATGTCATAGCTTCTTGCACACATACAGTGTCCTCACACAGAGTGACTGAAATTATGCAGACAAGCACTGACACAGCCTGGGGAATTTTCCTACCAAACACTGCACGAGCAATGCACTTCACTTTGCAGGTGTTTTTTGCTGCCTTCGCTGCTGATCGGACATGCCAGTGCTCCCAGAAATCATCTGTAAACTGCTGGTGGCCTAAAACTACAACGAATAGGAACCCTGCAAAACAGTTTGTTTCTCAGCCCATTTCGGCAGCCTTACCGATGCTGTTCCATCGGGAGGGCTTGCCGCCAGCTGCCAGCACATCGCTGCGGCATCGTCCGGCCTGTAGATCTTAAAAAACTCTGCGACCCTGGCGTGCTCCCCCTGGTAGAAAAGGTGCGCAAGGATCTCCAGCGGCCTGCGTTTCTCCAGCTGCATCCAGCCACTGGTGCCCATCATAATGAGCTTCTGGGGCGGGTGGAAGACCTGGGTGACAAACTCGCTCCCCAGGACATCTTCTACGATTGGCGTGTGTTCTGGAATGGCAGCCAATGCCATGAGGGGTCCTGGAACACAGGAAGGATGGTGCATCTTTGTGAGCCTTGGATTAGCAGTGGATGAAACCCTCTGGGACACATGTTGGGGAGTAAGCATTGTGGGTGAAGTTTATGCTGGCTTCGCCTCGTGGTCAAATGGCAGTGCTTGCTTTTGCAATCAGAAAATCGAAAGACATCTGCTGATTCGAAAACCATTCTGTTGTCCCTTTCTCTGAAGTGGCAACACGGGCACCTGTTGAAGGCAATTTGTGTCTACGCGGTTTTCCAAACACTCCAATCCACCATTGAGCTACCCATCTCAGGTGGGGATTCAATTTAAACATCCTTCTCTTGATGTGTTTGCCATGGTCTTTACAATGCCATCTTCTGATCTTGGTGGATGCCTCTGATCTTGTCAAGAGTTGCGCCACAGCACTGCAAAGTTAAGCAAAGCTAAGCAGCAGCAGTAGGCTTCTCAGTATGGTGTGCTCCAATGCACCACCACTTTCCGATGGATGAATATTGACATCCGCAACCCAATAGTGCAGAAGTGGACAAGACTCTGTGCTGACAAGGGCACATACTGGATTACTCGACCTCATGAAACATGCATATTTTCCCTGGAATGCACAATAAGAATACGAAACTACAATGCGCAAGAAGCACTTCATGCGCACGAGTACAATATGCTACAAAACACAGTCTGAACAGTACATAAACACCCTGGATAGGACCAACACCAGTAAAGCAGACACAGCGCAGGAACCAAATCACCTTCGGCATCAAATGTCCATTGCTGCACATACACCTTGCTGCCCCCCACAGCAGGCACAAGGGTGGTTGCCGTCAGTTGGCGCATTGAGCCCCCCGAGATGATGGTGCCCTGGCCAAAGATGGCACACTGCACCTTATCGGTCCTGCAAGTGGCACAGCGATTTTCCAGCATAACTCCCAGTGCAGTGCACAGCCAGCACCCTCAATTCCCTGTCGGCAATCAGCGTCTTCTCCTCTTCTCTTTGCAACACGTGGCTGGGCTTGGGACTGTTGGTTGGTGAACAAGTGGAAAGGGAATTTTGGTAATACTCAGGTTTTCTTGACTCCATAACATTACAAGAAACATCAAGCTGAGACCTCTGTTGCCTACAAGCGCAAGGGGGCAGTGATCTGAATTGGTTGATGGGTTGCAATTGACATGCAGACAGCCATTCAGAAGGTTGCACCAAAATGGCCACCAGGTTCAGATTGCCCCCAATGTTCCACAGCAAAGGCGCAAGCATATGAGGTGTCAAGTTTGGTTGCCAGCAAATCATGTAGGATGTCTGGTGTCCAGGGAGGCAATCGGCGCCCTGCTGTTCAAGGGGTGGTTTGTGTTTTTCTCCAGCTTCAACGATGAGTGAATTTGCCAAAAATATGAAAACGCGCTGCCTTGCCGTAACTTGTGTGATGCCCGACGCCAACAGGTGATGCAGGCCAAGAATTGAGCTAAGCCAAAAGGGAATGAGACACATTGACCAGTGGCAGTGCATGCTGGCTGCAGTACATATGCTGTTGGTTAGCATTTGATCCAAGACCCAGCAGTGAGATTGTGCCATCGCCCAACATGCACACCAGTATGTACCCTCCACACAACCAAACTACCAAGCAAAGTACTGTGCCTTACTAATGTGCATGCTACTTTACCGTGCACCCCACAACTAAACCTGCATATGGCACTGCCCATCGTCGGCCATGCATGAGGACACTGGGAAAAAATGGGAATGCTGTCTCAGACACATATGTCCCACATACATGCTGCCCCTGCACAATGAGGCAGCGATGTCCGCATGGTTTGATATCAATACCGTGATGGTGACACTTGGTGTCAACGCAGTTTGATATCAGCACTGCTCATTTCCAGACCATGCATGCATCACTTGCACCACCTATCCACAGTCATTGCTGGCAAAAGGCCCTGTGCAGATGGCAACAGCTGGCCAACAAGAGGAGAGGAAAAAGATCCATCGCCACACCTTCGCAGGTCCACCAGATTTTCAGGGGGTGCAGGCTGTGCCAGCACAGCCTCAAGGCACGTTGGCCTGCCATCCCCAACGTGGGGGCCAGCAGTAAAGAAGACACGGCACCCATCCGAGGTTATCGCCAGCAGCTGCAGTTTGGAAGACTCGGCTTTCGCTGTGTCAGGTTGCAGCAGGAATGTCAGCCCACCGTGGTGTTGTAGCAATCTTCAATTTGTGGCAGTGATATTCTGCACCCCTGACTATATGCACGCATAGCTTGACCAGGACAGCAACAATACAAAGGAAGTATGTAATGGCATTGCTGCAATACCAAGAACACATCAGTTTGTCAAGTATCAACGTCGTTAAGTTCAGCAAGCTATGAGCTATTCAAAACTAACCAAACTGAGGCAAACACCGCTCTTGTGCCTACCAAGCGATGCCATGCATTATTTCCCCTCCTAATGTCTGCCTTTCGATTTCTTACACATCTTTGACCCCCAGTAACATCCTGGCCGGGTAGGTGAAAGTGTAAACGATGGTGAACAGACACCGAGACATATTGCTATTCCTAGTCTGCCGTGTGCACTGAAGCCAGATGGACAGCGCGATTAATCTTTGAGCTTTCTCGACATCCACCCACCTCGAGCCAACAGCTGGTTAGATTTGACATACGCCAGTCAACAAAGGGTTTCACTGCACTCTTCTTGTGCAGAACCACTGCATCATTGCACCATGTTTTAGACCTCATTTATGAGTTTTGGAGCTTGTTGACATCCCAAGTGTGGACACATATTTGGCATCGCCCTGAGTGTGTCCAGGGTGTGTCATTTTCTGCAAATCAGAACAGCATACATCCACACTACTTGAAGAGACAGTAACAAATGGAACCCACCAATAGGAAGAATCTCTCTAATTTTCCGATTTCCACTTCCACGGAATGCTTCCATCCCTCCAGGAGCCCTGAATGCAAGTGACCGCAGGTCACCGTAGTCAGCAACTTTGCGGGGTTTTTCCATGCCATCCTTCCCAAGATCAAAAACCTGCAATAGCCATGACCAGGGGGGCTCAACCTGGCTTAGAATCCTTATTCGATTCACACAACTGGAGGACACACAACATCACCCAGAAAAACCCCACAAGTATCAGCAGGATGCCTTTTGTGCTGTTTGGTGTTGTGTCTGCTTTCCTGATGCACCTAGCAAGTCTATATTCACATTTTCTTAACTGGGTGCTGATAACATGTCCTTGATGGATGTCCCCTTGGCACCAATCCTCTGTATACATTTGTTCAATTGGACGAAGCAACTCTTGGCAGCTACAGGGGCTCGGGATGATGCCATTCACACGACATCATTTCTTGCCTATCAAAGATCAGTACAGACCTGCAAATGTGCTGCATAGTTCAGGGAGAAGTTCAATACTGGAATGGTATGGCCAAGGTGGCACATCCTGATACTGTACCTGTAGCATCGTTTCTCCATTTAGAGTGTAGAGTATGTGCCTGTCATTGTCACATGCGATCTTCGCCACGCCATGGTAGCCTTGTGAAAGGAATGTAGGCAGCATGTCCAGCCACCCCTTGGTGTGGCATACCTGAAACACAGCACAGCGAGAAATGATTTGCAAGGTGGCAACTGGGGCCAACAGCCACCTTCCACAGTGCGCCAGCTTGAAACATCTTTGTACACATCACCAGCCTATTGCCTGACATCGACCTCAAGCCACAAAGGCACTGTTTGGCATGGACAAAGGTAAATTCGGCCACAGCTAATTTATAGCCTGCCAATTAGGGTGTGGAGCGCAAATTCCACTGCAGGCACAGGAGAGATGAGGCAATGCAAGCAGAACTTCAAGCAAAATGCATGCAGACATCCCCAACATGTCAGGCAACGGCCACAAACTGTTCTCTTCTCCTGCATCACCAAGACAACGCACAACTGAAAATGTGTGATGTGCTGCACTTGTTGTAGCACAGATGATGGCCCCACGTAACGGCGCTGGAGATCAGGCGCTCAGCATAAACCCAAACAGTAATCCCACCTTCTGGCATTTCCGTTGACTCCACAAGAAACCAGACCCAGTGTGGTACAGCACCTCATACAGGTGGCCATCTTCACCTCCCATGAAAATACGCCCCAGCGGTGTCGTGCACACACTGGTCATCAGGACGTTGTCTGTGGATGCCCTGTAAAGTGAAAGGGGCTCCAAGACAGTGCCAGCGCCGTCATAGTCCAGGGTCAAGGCCACCATGCTGATCTGGGATTCAAACAGACAGTCATTGGCATGCTCACCTTGGACAAACGCCATGGCAGGAAAGGATTTGTGGCACCAAACCAAAATCCTGGCTGCTGTGAAAATTTATCCTACATCGACTTTGTTCAGTCGCTGATTCCCAAATATGGCATCTCATTCAAGACATTTGCTGTGCATCCCCTCATCAACACGTTTGCTCAATGTGCAAATGTGTTGGCCATCTGCACACAAAATGTTTTGTGCTGATATCCTAATGCTTGGCAGCGGATTTTGCCATTAAGAATCACAAACATAGGGAGACCAACTCTGTGGTTCCAGTGGTTCCATGTGCAGTACAACCAAAACTGTGAGGTGTGCATCTACTTTCTGTTGTGAGGAAAACGTTTCGTGTGTCAACTTGTCACTCAGTGAAATGGCCACGTGCATGCACCCTACACTGACCCACTGGCCACGTGCATGAACCCTACACTGACATAGCAACAGCTGGCTCCTCACTGTGGCCAGCTGTCCGCTAGCCTAGAACAGGGAACATCGCAGCAAACAAGAAAAGCCCATTTTGGAGCCTGATGTCTCCTAAAGACACAACATTTTCCAGAGCAGGATGGCGACATGGATGTGCATGTCACGCCTTACAGGTGTACAGAGCAGTGTTGTGGCATACGGTTGAAACAAAAGTTTGGGAAGGAAAAAGCAAAACTGCTCCGCACCTGGAATCGTGTGACAACGACCAGGATGTGGTTGATACCACGAAAGACACCCTTCCTGGGTTGCAACAAATCCACTTGCACGATCTTGCCATCGCTCGCTGTGTGCTCCAACGGCACATCGGTGCTGCAGGCGCCCCAATAACAGTAAGCAGATTCCGGCCACGTTGTTCCCACAATGGGTGCACAAAAAGGTGTGCACAGCTTAGGGCGAATCCGTGTATACAGTTCCAGGTTTTAGGGTTCGTTGGAGAGGCAAGTGACCAGGCCAAGGGATGACATGTAGCGAAGCAGAAAAGCGTGCTGTGAGTGCGGCATGAGCCAGTGATGAACAGAAACACATTCAATCAATGTATCTGCGTCAGAAAAAAGAAAATCGACACATAGGCCCAGGTATGTGTGTCTATTGATTTTAGAACAGCAAAAAGCATCAGCTTTTCTGGTGGTCTGATAGGACCTCAGAATGTTTTGCCAAAAGACCACTGCAAACCTTCAAGCGGATATGCATAGTGGATGTACAAGTGCCCCACAACGCCTGAAAGGTGCAAGGGCACTGTTGCACCCATGGGCAGCACAAGAGAGCAACATTCACAAACCAAAACATTGCCAAGCAGATTTCTGTGCAAGTGCAGATGGGTATTCATTCAACGGTTTTTAACAGACAGGAAACAATTCCTCTCAGAAGCTTAGGTGCAACCACGCCAGGATCCAGATTTTTGAGCCGGGTTTCCAACCCCACAAACTTTGGAGTGTCACCACTGTGAAGCCATCATATGTGGCGCAATTTCTCCGGTAGGAATCAAGGATGTTGGCCTCAAAGATCGCAAGCAACGGGACGCGAAATTGTACGGCTTCAACCACGCCAAGAATCGCCTAGTGCCTGACTCCTGGAGCTCAAATCTTGGACGCATTTCGAGCTGTCATCACCTCCTGTCTGTCCGCCAGACGTACACCGTGCCGCCGACCGTCGCCCAGGCCCGCGAGATCTCCGGGAACAGGCCACACCGCGTGATGCCGCCCTGCGACCGGGCGGCCTCCGACACGATCCCCGGCAGGAGGGAGAAGCCCGATGTCGGCCTCAGTATCTTCGGCCACTGTGGAGAGCGAGCCACGCCCAGGGCACCGCGTCAATCCCATCCAAAGGCGGAGCCATGCCAATCTCACGGCATCAAAGCGCGCAGAAATTTTCGGGGCGTGCCCATCGTTCGCGAAGGGCGGTGGCGGGAGCCACGCGGCGTCGTCGAATCTGGTCGCCATGTCGCACCCCGGCCGGGTAGTTGTTGTAGACGTCCCTGACGCAGCCGCACAGCGTCTCGTACAGGTCGCCGGGCGTGGACGCCGACATGGCCACCGCCGCCGTCCCCACGGCCGGGCGCGCGCACGCGGAGCCGTGCGGCCGGGCAGGGCTGGCCCCAAACCGACTGCGCTGGCGGCAATGACGGCTTCTGCCAGAAACTGAGCGGCTGCCGTGGGGAAGAGGAGGAAGCCGGAGGGCACCCACAATCCGGCCATCTTCCGGACAAAAATTGGCTGTTCCCCGTTCCATGCACGGGCGCAGGCCCAGTAGCGCGTCGCAGAGCGAACCTGCTCTCAGCCCGACTCTTCGCCACCTCCGCTCCCTCCGCGCTCCAAGGCGGGAGCGAAGAGCCGCCCGATTCTGAGCGCACCGCTTCGCACTCGCCCGGCACCTCGGTGGCTGGCCGCGATGGTCGGCGCCTCGAGGATTGAGACCCCGCTCCTCAAGGTGGTGCTCCCCTGCTCCCATTCCAACTGTTCGTCGCCCGAGTTTTCTTTTGCTTTTCTCGCGCTCTTCCTTGTTTCGCGGTCGCGCGACTGACGCGGGTTGGGCCGTCCGCCTTGGCGGGCAGGTGCCGTATGAGTCGCTGAAGCGCGCGGCCAAGGACCGCAAGGCCGTGGTGGACGACGCGAGCCGGGTGCTGTCCGACCTGGCGAGCGAGGGGGGCGTGGACCTGGAGAAGATGTCCAGGGACCAGCGGGTGCAGGCGCTGGACAAGCTGGTCGTGCGGCTGCAGGGCATCAAGCGCAAGGTGGGGGGACGCGGTGGCGGGAAGCTTTGCCGCCGCGGGGTGGTGATTGACTGGGAACTTGGGGACCTCTGCCGCGTCCGGATCCTCCCCTGGAAGAGCCGTGAACTTACCGCCTGGCGGGCGGTAAAGGTGTTCATGCTCCAGTGCGTCTCGAGAGGAACTCCTCGAGGTTGGATAAGGAGTCGGGAAACCAGGGATCCGAGTGCTTGTGAGACAGGCGAAGTTTCCCGACGGGGGGATATGCCATACAAAGGGCATCTCCCTCCCGGGAGAGAATGCTGCGGTGCTCTCTTCATGTTACAGATTCTGCAAGCAAGGCTGGGGCGCAGCGCAGCATGCAGCACACTGTGCAGAGCAGTGCATGTGGCATGAACGCATGCATTCGTATGAGCGAGGCGAATTGGACTGATATATTCCTTACATTCCACGAGTAGCAACGCAGAAACAAGTGGCGTGGCGCATCATCGACACGTCGGTTTATCAAACAGAGGAATTCGTGCTGAGGCGCATCCTCCCCTTCAACTTCCTGTCAGCAACAGAACCTCTATGATTCAAGGATTGTTGCAATACCGCACCAACAACACTTGCAAAAAAGGGGTACAATGCAGGTGTGGTGCTTGCTGAGTGCTCGTCCGTCTTCCAGCTCATTGCCATCAAGCAGCAGTCCTGGTCAGTCTCTGATTTTGCCCCAGTTTGAATCGTCTGTGTCAGTTGCTGATCCTTTGATCATTAACTCTGGTGCTGATCGTCCGCATTGCATTGTGTGTGTCCAGTTGAACGAAATATCCAAAACGGAGCAGGAGTGCGCTCACAAGTACGTAGCTGCACCTCAGCAGTGGAAACATGGGTGACAGCAGCTGGTGTGGTGCATTTGTGTAGAGGGACTTGTGCTGCCGCCATGCAATTGCGGAGCTTGGGATGTTGTCAGTAGCCTTGCAGGGAATTTTGCAGAGGGTTGCATTAAGTGGTACGAACTGCCAATGGTCCAATTCTCTGAGTGTGAAAAGAAAATGTGTCAAATGCTTCGACAGGGAGGTTCCACATTGAACAGGATCGTGTCTCGATCTGGTGCTTGATAATCTTCAAATCTCCCCCCCAAACTGTCTTCAAAATCTTTGCAATGTGTCTTTCTTCTAGAACATTATCCCCTGCATGGCTGTGCATTGTCCACTTGAAATCTTGGGCAGAAATTAAAATCTAGAAGGCTCCAATGGTGTGTGTGAATCTGTTTTACCATGTGTTTGATTAGGGTTTGTGCAGACACCTACGAAGTGTTGATGGGCTCTGTATCAGGGTGCAACCGAATGTGTGCACAAAGGATTTCTGCAGGCCGTTCTGCAGATATCGCAGTCAATTTGCATGAACATGGTGGTTATGGCACAATTCATGTATTAACAAGTCTCCGTTGTGCCCACCACTTAGAATCCCAATCCTTTATGGGCCCAGCACTGTCTGCTTCAAACAACGGGAAAGGATGCACAAATCCCTAAACCATGGAGTAATCTTGTTGGATTCCCATGGTGTAAGCTGCTTGAGAACAGGTAAAGATCACTACCCTTATCAATCGCGATCGAATTTTGAGTTGTCCCACCAAGCTGGCACAATCTGGAATGCTGCTCATGCTGTCCTTGGGCTTGACAGTTGTGCTGCTCAGAACAGGCCCAGCCCCTTATCAATGTTTCCTTTTATTCATTTATTAACAGTTGCATTATTTGTACTATTGCTTATTGTCGATCAGTATATATTCATGCACCTTGTGCGGTCTGCAGGTGCCATGTTCGGCTGCATCATCTTGTCGAACTGGGAGAGCCAGGCGAAGATCAAGTGGTGGCATGGAACCTGGAGCGTTTTGACACTATCTTGGTTGACCACATGCTTCGAACGGGCTGCCACAACTCAGCATACTGTCTAGCAAAGGCGTCCAACATCGAGGTGTGGGGCTTTGCGATGCTCAGCAAGGATAGCTGCTGTTGCCAGCTTGTGCCCAAACACTATTTCTGAAATGCAAATATGCGGTGACGCCTTTCTACAGCAAGGCTGTGGGAGGCAGGCCAGGAAATCACCTGCACACCTCTTGCTTGGTCAGTTTCAGCACAGGACACTGTGTATCATTCAGGAAAGTACGTTGTCTGCCAAGCTGTTACCAACTGTACACTTTGGTAAATTCAGGCCCTATTAGGCATCGAGGTTGCTTGAGGCCATGCGGTGGCTTTTCGGTAACCAAGCAGTGTTTACTCATTGGGCCCAACAAGTCAGGCGGGGATCGCTGGAGGGCAAAATTTCATTGTCAAATGCTGGACAGGGGCTTAGGGAGAAAGCAGTTGAAGAAGATCTTTTGGGGCTGTTGGGTCTCTTCGGTGGTTTTGGGTCTCTTGGGTCTCTTGGGTCTTTTGGGTTTTGGGTGGTGGTTGGGACCACCTAAAACGGCCATAAGAACCCAGGAGAGGGACCTCCAATGGGTTGTCTCTGCTTTGTCACCTGCAACACCCAATGGCATGCATCCCCACCCTGAAACGCGGCCGGCTGGCACATCCCCGTGAGGAACCCAGTGGCCAGCAACTCACACGGAAAAGGACAGTCGAACTGCAAACTGATTGAATGGGACCCCATTGATGGCTAAATCGGTTGTCCATCGCTGCTGGTGCAGGACTTGGTGGACGACCACATATTTCTGAGTGCTCGGAAGGTGGTGGAAGGCCTGAGGCACCACGACTGCACAGAGGCCCTGGCTTGGTGTGCTGCAAACCAGGTGAAGCTCAGGAAGAACAAGTCCAAGTTGGAGTTCAAGCTGCACGTGCAGGTGAAATTCACCCCAGTCGACAGATGGTACCCCAGCACCCTGAAACCATTGCTGGGCATGGGGTTCATCCAGGCTGCTTTGCCTCAAGCTACTCTCACAAGCCTGTGCTTGTGCAGGTGTTCATGGAGCATGTGCGGCAGGGGTGCATGCTGGATGCGATCGCCTATGCAAAGAAGCACCTGGCACAATGGGCACCCCTGTACATGCAGGAGCTGCAGCGAGCCGTGGCTGCATTGGCGTTCAGGTGGGCTGGGGTTTGACACTGGAAGAGTTTCGCTTCGGAAAAGGGAATGATATTGAGCACACATCAATCCCATCTTGGCCAAGAATTTCCACAATACCCTTTCTATGATGTAGAAGCTCATGGGTGCAGATTATCCATGGCTGTGACATTGCAGTCAAAGTCTGTTGCCTCTCAAGAGGCGTCCTTGCCACCCCAGAACATCAAAGGATTGACAGAGCCCTAAAGGGTTCAAATATAATGAGGACAAACCACCAGGTGAACTGCAAGTGGAGGGATCGCTTCATGGTGTTTGGTACCCAGTTCATTCTACTTCCGGCATTGAAGCAGAAATAGGTGGAAATTGGGGTGAAGGACGTAGTGTGAGCAGTCTCAAAAGCGAAGGAGTGCTGAATGCCAATGGGCGTCTTGGTATTTTGACAGTGAATTTATTCTCCTGAGACGAACTAAGTGTAGAAAGAGGATATCGATGAGGTGTCCTTGCTGCGTCAGAGGTGTGCCTGGATTGTGAAGGCCATTGCTGTCTGCATCAAAAGGTTGGAAGGAACGATTTACTTGGGGGAGAGTGGCAAAACCATGCATTGCTGCATTGAAGCCTGCCCAAGGTTTTGGGTTGGGTGGGTGCCTGGGTCACAGTTGCAGTCTCACACACTATCATTGGATGTTGAATTTGCAGGGACACAACCACTTGTCCAAGGTACCAGGAGCTCTTCGATGACTCACAGTGGGATCAAGTCATCAATTTGTTCCATGCTGACCTGTTCAAGCTCAATTCCCTGACGCCAGAATCTCTGCTCACTATTCACTTGCAAGCAGGTAGGCCACTGTCTGCTAGGGTTCATTTATGCTATATCACGTATTTGCCACAGATTTATTGTCATTACTATAATACTATTGTTAATTTCCACCTCTTTCTGACCACGCGTCCATATGTGGTGCACACAGCCTGTGTGGAAATCTGCAAATAGTACAGGAACAAACAAACATGTTCAGCAAGTGCTGGAATGACACTGCCATTGCAAAACATGTGCCTTGCGGCAAATTTTCCCAACTGGCCATATAGCTCACACACAGAAGTGAGGCAGGGCCTAAAGGCTCCATCTCTCGTCAGTTTTAAAAACACCATGGTCTTCCATGCGGGTGCCAACAATGGGCTTTGCTATTCCCAGCAACCTTTCAAGAAATTGTGTACTCCATAGTTTTACTGAAGGAACTTGAGGTTTTGCATTCCTGTAAGATGCATTCTAATTGAGCAGTTGCTGACCTTATGGGATGGTGCACGCAAGAAATTACAGTGCGTAAATGATCGTAGCTGGCATTGCCGGTAAATCTGCTGCTGCTTCACTTTGGACTATGGTCAGCTGATCTACTGGTTGCCTATTGGGCCGTGCAGCGATGTTAAAATGTGTCGTATATCCGAACACACGTTCCTCTTGTGCGCTACTTGGATTGCCCTTGGCTGAGCACGTTGAGGGTCTAGCTGCTCACTATCTGCTTCAGCAGTAACTGGTCAAATTTGTTTTTTCTTCATGCCAGGTTTGTCTGCTCTCAAGACCCCACAGAGCTATGAGCCTGGCTGCAGTGGGGAGGACCCACTATACCTGCCAGTCTTCCAGAAGCTTGCTGAGGGGCTGCCATTTGCAAAGTACGATCGATCCAAACTTGTCTGCAGCATGACTAGGGAGGTCATGAATGAGGAAAACCCGCCAAAGGTGTTGCCCAATGGCTACGTCTACAGCCAAGCTGCCATCGATCGGTTGAAAGACAGCAGCGGAAAAATAACGTGTCCAAAGACAGGTACCGTGACGCACTTGACTTGCCGTTGGCTTGCAGTTTCGTACCACGTAACGAATTCGTTTCACAGAGACGTGGTGTGCCCTCGTGTTGCTGTTGGCATTGCCATGACCATTCAATCTGCCCTCGAGATGACCGTTGATGTGAAAAACAATTCAGCGAATTTTGACCAAAGCACAGTGCAGGGAGAAATGTGGCATTCCCCATTGCCTCTCCGTTTGCCTCACAAAATGTGTGTTGTTTGACAGGGGATGTGTGTGACGAGTCAGATGTGCGGCGCGTGTTTGTGATGTGAGGCGACTCTTACATGACAGAGGGCTTTTTAGACCGGAAGGGCATGGCCAAACGGCTGCGAGGTGCACACCATGGTGCAGAAGTCGAGGGATTTGACACCGGCTTTTGGCTGGTCTCACTGTCCATGTTCATTCGATTCTTCTTTGATTCATCAGTTGACATGGCCGTCCTGGCTCACAAACGTGGTGCGGGCAGAACGATTTGGTCCCTGACAGGGCATCGACTTATTGTTGGCCAACGACTGCATGCTTCCTTGAATGCTGGTGGGCGTGATTTTGCAGTACAGTTGCGCTGTCAGCTCCAAATCAACGCAATGTTGATGGCATGCAGGTCAATACGGCCAGCAGCGCGCATCCAGATTGCAGAACGACCTTGTGCGATCGAATTCCTTCGCTGGCTGTTGTTGGCTGGGCCTGTTCAATGACCATTTGCAGGAGTGGAATAAGTGAGAGTTGGGGCGTTATCGCCGAATTGATTGTACAAGACATGTATTAATTTCTTGATGGGTTTGCAACTGCTGCTCTTGTGCATGGGCATGCATGATGCATATCCATGATTTCGGTAGCGATGGACAGAGGAGGCTGGCGGCAGGCATTGACAAACTGTTTAAGAGAGTTTGCTGGGCGGGTAATGCTCAGCGCGGCCTGGCCGCATTGTATGTGGGTCCTATGGGTGCCTGACAAGGTCGCGACGGGGCCGGCTGCTTCCACAAGCCAAAAAATGCCAGAGACGTGGGTGGGGCAGGGGCAGTTGCTGCCTCAGGAAAACGGATTGCAGTGCGCGTCATCACTTGCCGTTGTGAGAGGAGAAAGCAATCGCAGTGTGCGTGTGCTGTCGCTGAAATTATCCCCAGAATATATTCTGAAACTGCAAGTATTAGAAGACCACACCTAGCATCGTTTTGCTGGGTAGCTGCTGGGGGTCCAGCCTTCGTGCTAATGACCGAGCCGTGCCCCAATGGTTGTTCTCTGTGGGTGTCGAAGAGAAGAGAAGGAAAGGCGACGACTGGAGTACTAAGCCATTGAGGATTAGACGCGGTGAAGCCTTTGTTGCTCCCAGGCCAGCATGCCCTTCTTTGCGTGTTTTAACACATGCACACACGCTCGTATCCGGGCATGTTGTGCTCAGCCACTTATGCCCTAAATACCTCTCCCCCCCTCGTTTTGTTTGTGTGGCGGCACTTGTGGTCATGACCTTTGTGATGATGAGTTGAGAAAATGTATGGTGAACAAGCCGAACATGGTGAAAAGCTCTGGTGCATCAACGGTGGATATGGAGGCAATAAAGAAATAGCAATGATGTGGGGCTCTATGAGCAGACGGTGTATTCTGTAACCTATCCTCCACGGCCTGTTCGTTGCGTCTGTGAGTGTCCATGTGGGAACGGGTATTCACATACAAAGCGACAATCATCGACACCGCTGGTACGGCACCAAACCAGACAATAGTACTGTCTGCAACCAGAAACATAGCCAGTATTGGCAAGGGGCAGCTGAATGATTTCAAACTACCTCGCCAACTTAATGCTCTGGCTCCCTGGATTCATTTACGGCAATATGGAGGGGGGCCAGATTGGCAAAGTCTCGTTGTCTCGGAAACCACGCCAGACGTAAATATTTGTGGGCGGTGCCCATCATCCGTTTTTTGGCAATGTACACATGCGTCGCGATTCAGTATTGGTTGGAAGAAAAGAAAGTTTGTGTATTGAAGCCACAACGGTTAGGTTTGGAGGCCCCGTCCTTCATCGTGGCCGTCGAGGAAGCAACCACCAAGCAGCTACATAGACACAGGCGCACACGCGCATCCGCTTGCTCTTTTGGTACATCCTGTCCCTCTTCAGTTGTCGTGCGCATTTGCTGAACGCCCCATGCGCAGACTGGGCGATCTCCTTTTGTTGCTTCTCCGGAAGGTGAATAGTCCGCGATCGCAAAATTGGCAAGGATACGAACACTTTTTGCCAAACAGTCCAGGATGTGGCTATATAGGGCTTCGCACAGCAGGGCCGCGGCAGCGCTATCAGATTTCAGGCAAGACAGCCAGGGCACCGCGGCGCTTGCGAATTCGATCGTCACAGCCATTCCAGCTGCGGCCAGAATTTCGTCCTGGGCAGTTGAAATGCGCATGCAGAGTGTGAGGCCTCGGCAACCTCTTCCCACTCAAGACAAAAGCGCATGACAGCGCCTGCGGTCCTCTGCTCAGCAGATTCATCACTTGCTGCGGATATTCATAGTCGTCGCAACCATCAAGAGGTATAACATGCCAGGTGAGGGGGAAGCCACCAGCTCCCTCTTCTCCCGAAAAGACCAGTTTCCATTATTTGTCCAGTGGGAACGCGCAAGATGCAGTGCAATCATGGATATTCACGGTCAGAGGTGACCTCTGAATTATGCGTGTAATTGACATCAGCTCGAAGATGGACGCCTCTCGTCGAAAAGCATGACAATACAGAATGAGGAGCATACATCCCAGTTTCCTCGCGAATGCCTGAGCGCGAGGAAGCCAAGGCTGTTGCCCTCGCTCGGAAGCACACTCAAACCTCACCCAGCGGGAGCTTGCGCCCGATAGCGGTGCTGAACCCCTCCATAACCGCTCCTTCGCAGTCCAGTCAGCGGACAGCGCCGTGGCGCAGTGTGCGTTTCTGAAGCGCCGGAAGGCCCCGCTTAGGTTTTGCGGTGGAAATTTTCAACCTCTGAGGATGGCAAGCGCCGCTGCGAGGGTGAGAAACGTCGCGGCAGGGGGGCGCGCGGTGAAAGGAAAGCTTCAGCAGGGGATCCCCGTTTGTGGGCGACTTGCTGAGTGACGCGCTGTGGCTGTTTTAGGAGCGGTACGCCCGCAAGAACGAGACCACCGAGCTTCGACGCGCTTTCCAGACATTAGACAGGAAGGGAGATCAGAAAATCGACAAGGACGAGCTCAATCAAGTGTTTCTGGCTCTCGGCCACCGGCCGAAAAGGGTGAGACTGTGCGACAACTGCAGCCAAGTTGCCACGCCCCATGTAGCGTAATGTTGACGTTTTTCTCGTTGCCTAATTGCTGCTCTGGTGGCCATTTGGTTGCAGAGGCGCCACAAGGGTGTGGCGTGCAAGTCTGCCTCGTGGATATTGTAAGTGAATCATGTTTATGCTCTTTGCCCTTCTCGTCAGTGAGTGAAACGCTTGACCAAATTGATTTGACCCATTGAATGGGCAACTTGACCGTCTAGCTGCATCCGAAACGATGACGTCTCCTCAACAGCCCTTCGCACTGCAACATATCTGTATATAGAGCCGAGAGCAGCTCTATGTATACAGATCTATGCAGTGAGCATCTGACGGCATATACAGCTAGAAACTTTAGGTTGTCGCGAAGTTGATTGCTTTGTAATTCTGAACACAAGCCCGTGTACGTGTGGGAAAGTAATGGCGACTATGATGGGCGTCCACCCCACGCAATGGAAAGTTGCATTTTCATCAGATACCATGCTACTGTTTCTGACATGTCATACTGACGTCCCGATTGCCATCGGATCAGCTTGGAGCATCTTCCCGCTTGCAAACCACAGCGCAATGTCAGCCCACAGCTATCCGAGTCGCGATTGTGCCGAGATCACACGCACACACGTGCAGCCAATGTGGCGGTCTTGCGTTGCGCACTGCATGCACAATATGCTCTTTCCGTGAATTTACAATCTGCACCGAATCCTGTGTACCAGGTTGCGATGGAGAGGGTTTCATTTGCATTCAGTGCCAGGAACGCTGCGCCATTGTCCCCCGCCGTTTTCACACTGCATTGCGAAAACGTGCGCAATTGTGCAACTGGATGGCGTGGAGGAATAAGTCAATGAGGGACGTACATACCTGTTAACGTTGACACACTGGGGTACCGGAATCTGTCCCACGTGAGCCCATGCGGGCCCGAGGCTTCCCGCGACCTCCCCCACGCCTTTCCATGTTGGACGGCTCACGTGGGCATCCGCGGGAGGGCCGTTTTCATGCACTAACGCATGACATGCCCCACGCCAGTGCATTTCAACTGCACTCCCGCGGACGTCCACATGGGGTCTTCCACAGTTCCGTTACCCACACGCCTGCAGGACGCTGCTGCCCACGGCATCGTCACCAAGCCGGAGCAGCTTATAAGCTCCTAATCTAGACAGATCCGCGTTAAGTCGACGTGCAATTGACGTCGGGCGCAGTCGACGGAATGTCGCCTTCTGAATTGAGATCTCCGAGTTGCGGCGTTGTTTGCAGGGGGAAGTGGAGGACATGATCTGGGAGGTGGACGAGGACTGCGACGGGGCCGTCAGCTGGACGGAGTTTCAGAACATGTACCACAGATGCCGGGATGACAAAGTAGGTGGGCAGAAACCTCAGGACAGCATGTGCCAAACAATGGGCACAGCCACGCAGCCACGTTTTGCATTGGGGAAGCGCTGCATCGGTCGTGTATTGTCGTCCACATTGCAGCGATGTTGCTACGGCCAGCTATTACCCTTCTGCAGCGGCGGACGACAGGCAAGAATCGGAGATTTTTTCTCGTTTTGCTGGTCCTGCGGACCGCAACCAGCTTGCAAGTAATTGTGCTCTGATTGCTCTGGACTGCCAAGCATTCTGGTCGCTGGCGCTGCCAGCTCCAGTTCGCTGCCAGATCGTTTCGCAGCAGGAATGGAACAACCTGCCTCCGTGGCGAGAGATTCGCCGTCCTGCTGGCGACAAGCGTTCAATATACACAGAGACATCCGGATGTCCGGTTGCACCCACTGCCCTATGACAAGCCCCTGGTTCGGGGTAGCTCAGCTGCCGCATGGTTTCATGCCGGTCCGCGCAATTGCTGCCAGCACGGCGGGCGTTGTCGCGCTGTTTTGGATCATTGACGCGATGTCTTGGTCGCCAACAAGCTCTTGCAGCCTTCCAAGGCACCACAAAGTAGCATGTGTCCCAGTCGATGCGTTCCGGTGGTTCGAACCGCTCTTCTCGCCACAATTAGCCAACGCTCTCTGTAGGTCGTTACTTTGGGGCCTGCCAGCGGATTCCTCTGACAGAGCTGCAGACGGTGTCTGCAGCGCTAGTTCCTCCTGCAGCCGCTGCAACTGGACAACACAGCCACACAAAACGTAGCGCACCCGTCCGATATTTGTTGCGCTGCAACGCTGTTGATCGGGACCCGAAGCGTACTGTACGAATGTTGCGTTGGTTCTCTTTCCAAAATATTCAACAGGTAGACAGCTGCCCGAAGGGCCGCTGCCAGTGCGCTCGCCACACCAATGCGTAAATGTATGAATACATATCTGTGCTCAGCCCAGGGCCAACCTTGGGGCCCCTGTACAGTGCCTTGCTAGGCAAGGCAGTTGGCAAGATGCAACTTGATGTGAGCGCGCTGTCTGCACGGTGTCAGGACATGAACCCAGGCGGCTGTTCAACGTTGCGGAGTTCCTCATGAATGACAAAAACAACAATGGCGAGGTATCCCTGGAGGAAGCCATGCGGATCATGTACTTGAGATACGGGCGGGGGCTGCTCGACACTCAGCTTGTGGAGATCTTTGGGACTTCGGACATAAACAGCGGGAAGACGCTGAGATTGACAGAGTTCTTGGCCAGCCTCAATGCCAGCCAGGTGTGTGACTCGCTTGGCGCGGCAACCGCTGGACATCGAACGTTCTTGGGTGGAATGTAATTTCTGTGAAAAGGCCCCACATCTACTGTGCCCATTGCCAGCGCCACAATGGGTTTCATGTGTTAAATGGGGACCTTTCCGCTAGTGAACGGATGTCAAAGACAGTTGCTGGCGCTCAGCACATGGTAGCAATGGATGGAGCAGTTGTGGCCATGTGCCGTCACGCCACTCCCAATGTTTCTCTCGTGTCTAGCCTGCATGACAGAACAAATGGTTGCGAGGTTGGAGCAGAACATAGGCCGCAAACTCAAGCCAAACTGAAAAATATCAGTCACCCACCAAAAACAAAACTAACTACACATTGCACAGCTCAACGCCATAACAACGCGCAGCCATCTGCAGTGCAACGAAGTGCAGTTGAACAGGCTGGAGCACTGGAGACGAGTGGCAGTTTCGCCAATAAACGCGAAAGAGGACAGTCCCCCTTGTGTTCAGATATGTGATCAAGGGTGCCAGGTGCAAAGCATGATCCAAACAGCACACAGCACTGCAAGTGCTTTCATGATGCCGTTGTCTGTCTGCTTTGCTTTGGTGCAGGTGAAACAGCTCCTAAACAGAGTAACAGCAAAGACATACAAGGCACCTCCGCCAACAACAAAGAAAGTGGCCAGGTGACTCAGGGACCAATGGGGGTGGCCAGGAAGGCACCATGTGTGGGCTGAGAGACGATTTGAAGGGAGCAGCCACATATGGTTCAGCTCTTGGGCTGATTTGCTTTCGCTGTTGGGTGTTATTTTCTGTGCTAGGAGATTTGCAATACAGGTTTGGTTCCTTGGCCTGGTGTTTAGCAAACGAGTAATAGAGCAACAATTCGCCCAATGACCATGAGAGGGCGTTGGATGGAAACGGAAGATTATGTCTTGTGGGCACCACGCCAATGGGATCGGTGTTTGGCAAACGAGTGATAGAGCAACAATTCGTCCAATGACCATGAGAGGGCGTTGGATGGAAACGGAAGATTATGTCTTGTGGGCACCACACCAAAGGGATACAAAATGGAAGGCCAGACATTATAGCTTATACATAGTTCTGGGGCCTGAAGTCAAAATGACCTTCACGTGCAGCATGTCCAATTGCTGCAAAGAGCCACGGGACCAGGCAGGTAACAGGTACCTGAGAACTGTGGTGCTTCCCAGCATCAAAATTAGTCGAATATTGGTACCCGCACCAAGGGAGGTGCGTACACAAGGGATGCAAACCAGATTGGCGGCCCATGCTACCAGCAGGACCAAACCAATCCGTCAATCTGTCAGTGTGGCAATCTTAATCGGGAAAGAACAGGTCTATCAGCCCACAGATCCGCAGTCTACCGTCCAAGCATTCTTACATCCTTCAATCCCAAGACCCAGAATGGTACTGTACACCACATGCACGCAGAGAGGCGAAGGGCAGCCCCGCGCCACGGCTCAAGGGCCAGCGACCCGGCCCAATCTGCCGATCATCAGCTTGTGACAGGGACAAGGGACCACGAGGCGAGCGTACGGGCCGCACGGCGGGCTGTTCTTCCACAGGCACCCCCTCCCTCTACAGATGTCCGGAAGCTGCCAGCCGCACGGCAGGGTACCATTAGAACCATCAATGCGCTTCCAAGGATGCTGCACGCCAACCCCTGCACGCAGGGCCCGCCCACAGCTGCCCGCCTCCGTCGCTATATCCACCGCCCTCAATCGCACGAGGTGACCTGCTGGCGGGGCCCCGCTGCGCCTGGGGTCACTTGCTGGACCCCGCGGCCCCTTCTTTTTTCCTGGCCGCCTTCTCCTGCAGCGCCTTGGCATCCCTGCGACCAAGGAGCGGCATCCGGTGGGCCCGGCGTCCACGAAGTCCCCGCCTGGGCCGGCCGATTCGCAGCGGCTCGGCAAAGATGAGGTCACGCAATCGCCGGCTGCAACCACGGCCTCGCACACGGCGATGGAGCGATGTTTCTGGGGCGACTGCGGGTGGCAGCCAGCCGCCCGTCGTGCCGCGCGGATGCGATTTTCAATGCGCCGGACGGGCTGCGCGTCGCTGAGGAGACGGGACTGGCGCGATAGTCGCAACTCAGTACGCCCATTCCAGCGCGTCCTCGCGGTGGTCAATGGAGCCATGCCGCCGACCGATCGCAGCTGGAGAAGGTGGTGCGGCGGATGCGGACCCACCTCTCGCGCCTCTGGGCGGCGGTCAGGCCGTCCTTCTCCTTGGCGGAAGGCTTCCCGGCCTTCTCCTTGCGCTTCGCGGCGCGGGCGCGGTCCGTGTCGCGCTGGTTGCCCCTCGTCATGCCGTGGCCCGCCGCGCCCGCAAGGGCGCCGAGGGTCCGACGGGGGCGCGCTGTCCTCGCGCTGGCGACCTGCTGCGGCCCGCTTGCGGCAAGTCCGAACGGTCGGCGTCGCCGGTGGGACAGCGGGCCTCCAAGACACTCGCCGGGATCCTCAAAATGAAAAATGCTTTTGGCAGGCGGTCCAATCAGTTTTTTCACCCCTTCGCCAGGGTGTCAGTTTTAGTTTTGTGCCCCATTTGCGCCGCTCCTGCTGGCCAGCCCGGCAGAGGCCCACACCGTGCCTGATTTGCGCGGAAACATCAATCGAGGGTTCCACTTGCGGCTGGCGCGCGCAGGCGAGCGGGAAGAAGCTCGTATCTTGGCGTCTCCACAGCCAATGCAGTGACCGCAGGATGGGCTGAGTTCACGTTTATTGACTGGCGTTTTCCTTCCAATTGCCAAGTTGAACCCTCGGCACAAGGTCCGAGCTCCAATCCATTCCCGTACAAACGCGGTGTACCAGGTGCCTTTGACATGAGGATCGACGTAAAGCACGACAAAATCGCCCCAGCGCCACCTGAATAAACGCAATACTTGCAATACTATGCAATACTTTGGGAAAGCTGAGCAGAACGCACCCCCACTCAACCAACACTTCCCAAACCTACCCATCCTGGGCGCATGCAATGTGCACCACTGTCGGCCACTGAAACCAAACCTATCCCGCACACACTGAACGCTTTCCTCAGCGTTCAACTGTGGGCGGTACCAGCTGCCACATTCCACACAGGTAGGGAGGTAAAGCATTCTCTCGATGAATGAACACCAACACAATATCCATGCATACCTTTGTTGACAGTTGACAGCTCGTCCAGACCCAGCGGGAGATGCACACCATGTTCCAGTGTGGTTGTCACACAAATTGGAGATTCTTCACAATCCCTGATGAATACATTTGGTCAGTTGGTCTGAACGTGCAAAATCCCCACATCTGTGAGCCATTGCACGAGTTGGGCTCTCGTTTCTGGGTCCATGTACAATACCCAGCACATCATCAAAATCATCAACAATACGCCGCCCGCCAACCTTTTCCTCCATTCCCGTCCCTCGTTTGTTTCGTCTGCATCTGTTCGTTTCACCAGTGCCTTGAGCATAGCGCCAATGTAGATCGCAAGAACTGTACTTGTGAGGCAGCACACATTGTATGGCATACTGAAGTCTGGAGTCGCCAAGGACACCAACGTGCCCTGGCTGTAGACCTGATTCACAAACAGAGCATGGTGAGATCCAAGAGAACACTAAGCAACAAGCAGCACATTTGAAGCTTCACATAATGCAACACCGCAAATTGCCGAGATTGCTGCTTGTTGTAAAGCCAACCACGCAGCAATCGTTTGGACCGCATGTTTAACAGAAACTGTTCACATTAGTCATTGGTACCAGTCTCAAACAACCATTCATGAGCCTCGCTGATGGTTTAGCACAAAGCAATGCAAAGGCCCTACCCCAAGCTTGCGCTGATCTTGTTGTAAGGAACAGCTATCTCGTTGGCGGTCCGAGGTTCAGACATTTGGCACACAGGATCATGGCTCTGTGCTTTCGCTAGCTCAGTCACAATAGAAAGCATGACACAGTTGGGATAAGTTCATCTTGAGGCTGCTGTCAGCTGCCATCTGTGATGCTGAAATCAAACATTGAAACGTACAGGTGACTGACAAACAATTAGCACCAATCAGGTCAGGTGAGCATAGTACATGCACATTATCCATTCCAACATCGAACATGGCTTGTGTCTTGCACATACATCCGCTCAGGAGGGCGTCTGCCAATTGCATATGACATGTTCTGCAGAATCTGCCAGGATAGAAGGCCAGTATTGTCAGCATCTCCATCAACTTACATATTTTCTTTGACTGTGCTGAAGAAGCTGCAGCAGCACCTGGATGCTCTCACTTGGTTTCTTCAGGTCCTCAGCCCTCACACCTGTGGAATCATCCTCGTCTGGAAATGTCACGAGAGCAGGGGGAATGTCAAAACCCCGATGTGCATCAGGAGGATGCTCAGTCACTGACAGAAATGCTGGAGTGAAGTCCACAGTTATGGCCATTGAAGATGCAGTGGCAGGCACTTGCAGGCACAGCTCCAGCATAGCTGGGGCCTTTCGGTCTTGAGACATGCCCAGCATATGCTTGTACACGGCACGAGCAGTGGGATAATCCTGCAGACAAAGCAGATGGTCCCTTGCTACAAGCAAACTCAAACCATCGCACCATCCACTGCAGTTGAATGGGCCCAGTGGCAAATCTTGTGCACAAGTTGCCCATTTTGCTTGCCAGGCAATTCGAAACATTGCACCAAATTTCACCATCAACATCAGGGGTGCAAGCAGTGTTTGCCATGCATGTTACTTGTGTTCAGCACAGGTGCCGACTGCTTGGAGCTCAGCGGTTGCTGCACTAAATTTGCTATCCTTGCATCCCTGACCATGCCCCTGAACTGAGTGAACATCTCCAACTCTCCAAGTCAAATTTCATCAACAGTCTTCCAAATTTTGTATCCAGCTTTGGATCGCCCTGCCAGCAGCTAGCAGATGAAAATGCCCTAAGGGCAGGCATAGCACACAGTGTCGTTTTACCTGGCCATCGACAAGCATCCTCATGGTGTGAATCCATACCCTCACAAACCAAGGCACGGTTTGCAGCAAGCACAGCTTCTTGAGCTCGTGCCGAAGGAGGCCTCTGGGCCTGCTCGGCGCTGAACCTGCCCCTGTCCAGCCGACCTCCACCACTAAACCACCTGATTCGCCCTGACCATTGCGGATATAGGTGTGCACCTCACACTGCACACCCCGCGGCTCCCACCCCCCATTCCCCGCCACACGCCAGGAGAATGCAGGGTCAAGGCTGCTGTTGACTTCCAAATCATACACCAAGATAGCATCAGATGTGGCCACACCCATGGTGGTGAGCTTGAGGGTTTTGTTGGGCGCAGGATCCACAATGTACAAAGCGTTGTTGTGTGCAGAGAATGTGTGGTCCCCACCCCCAGGCACTGTATCTACTTCTTCAACGCCCTTGGCACGGTCTACAAGCTGGCCAGGAATCTGCACATACACTTGACTTTGTGAAGCGACTGCACAGGCGCCCTTTGGTGGCGAAGCCATGATTGAGCTCAGCGACCAGTTGGATGGCCTGGCAGACAGTGATGACATTCCATGGGAACCCCTGACGACCAGGGTTAATGTCTGAGTCAGGAGCTGTTCGTTTCCACCGTTAGATGGGTGACCTCGCGTAACTTCAATGTGGGTGTGAAGAGAATGATAGTCTGCAAAATGCACCAACAGACAAGGCACATGTTAATATGACCATCATTCATCAACACCATGGATTGGGTCACAATATGGAAGGAGGGTGACATCTTGTGGGACAGTGGACAGCATGTCGGCGTTCCAATCAGAGGAATAAAGCTACAACCCTGCAAGAAACCTGCGGGTTGAGCCAACAACACAACCACTTGTTCTGCAGAGACCAGCAGACTACCGTTGTCTCGAACAGGCCATCCTCAACTGGGGACAATTTTGGACTTCTTGCTTCAAGAGGCTGATAGTGTGCGGTCACAATGTGCCTGGAACCAGGAAATGACCATTTCCAAATCAGCACCTGCAAATGGCTCGATGGCTGGCTTCGTTCCTCAGTTGCAATTGCACAGTTACAATCTTCAGACATCTGAAACATTAAAAGTGACATAAACTCTGCCAGTCAGGTAAGGTCGGCCACTGCATGACAAGCTTTCTCCCTGTCCTGCAGTAGATTTGTGAACGCAGGGTCTGAAGTGAACTTGCCACCGCCCCACTACTATATTTCACAAAAGATTGAACACAACAGGCCTTAATAAGTGGGGCTGTGGCTCTACAATCCAGTGGAGCATGAACAGCCACTGCCTAATTGCTGCTGTGCCCATCATCGCCTCTCAAGTTACAGGGGACTCGCTTTGTCATGTGCTTTCAACAAAGTGGCAGACAGTAGTCACACACAATGCAGTAACTCGACACAAAAGCCCACAGCAACACGTGCGAATCCCCATTCAGCACCTGCACTGTAGAGCACATGCCTGTCCATCAGCGCTGCCAGACCATGACTGTCCCCACATGGCAGCAGCTTCAACCATGGAGTCAGATTCTCAGTGCACACAGCCTCCTTGGGCAGCAGACCATGAACCCAGCTGCCAGCCTCCCTTTTGAACACGAATTCTGGTAGGGCAACCATCTCTGACCTCTCAAGGAAGTTCAATGATGAGCAGAGTAGCCCACTGAAAGCATGCGTAAGGTTCCCCCAGGCCGATGGCAGTTCAGGCGCTGCAAGGCTACTGGGGAATCGAGCAATGAGCTCCTGCAAGAACCCATCCAGCACCAAGTCAGCACAAAGCCACAGCGGACATATGTGTCAACACATATCAAGACTGTTGTTTGCAGAGCACCGGCAACATTGCCCAGTGGTCGGCCACACAAACTGCTGTCAGTATTTCAGAGCACCCCCACACACTTCTCATCAACTCCTGGAGTGTGGAAAAGGGCATCAATTCTGTGTCTGCACCCTAAACCTGAACATACTGACAAAACTTTCCCATTCCGCACAAGAGTTTGCTGCAGCCTTTAAGCACAACAAGAACAGCACACATGGCCTGCCTGCCAGCCCAGCATCCTCTGTTGCCCCATTTCCAGTCCGACATTTTCATCACCAGCCTGTACTTTGTGGATAGTGCTCGCCCACAATTCTTCAACAGGAAGTGACTGAGAAACTGAGGGGGAGGGGTGTGGGGGCGACCACTGAAATAGCACCATTCCAGCCCTGGTCGCCACTTCAGGTGCTGACACTTTGCCCGGCCCACCCAAGACACCCATGTTCATCACTGCCATGGAGATGCCAGACCCTCAAAGGTAACACAATGTGATACATGTGATAATCACATGGGATGCCAACGAGGTAATGTGGGCAAAACACTCACAGGGAAGGAGTTCATCACTTACAGCGCCCATGGGTTTCGCTGGCACAGCTGGATCGCCCCATCTCCTGTTGTCCTGTATTGCTGAGCACACAGGATTGAGGCCTGCAGGTGACTCGTCGATGGCTGGGACCCATATCACATGTGAACATACATGGATGCAACATAAACTGAAGGCTTGCAATGTAGCAGGGAGAAGTTACAGCAAGAGAATAGTGACAATGATGATGATCCCCTGTGTGCATAAAGCCAGTTCCAGAGTCAGCCCACCCACACAACCAACAATGTTTGGAGGTATCCTGCTTGAAGGCAGACCTGCTACCTCTGTTCTGAAAGTCTTGTCCGTTATCCAATCTAGATACAAATTTAAAAAATCAACATATTCAGCCAATCTGTTACCAGATTCGGATTTCTTGATCCATTTTGGGTTTGTACGGATCTTGGATAATTTGTCACCACTATATAGCAAGACATATACAATTTTATGAAAAGTGTCCCTGTCTGCTTGTATCATGTCCTCAATTCCCCACAATTTCGTGCTCACCTTATCCCATTGTGGTCCAACCTATTTCCCATAAATTCTTCAATAGCCTTGTTGTAGGCAACAAATGAGCGTCACTACATCCTTTCAAGAGTTCTGACATCACAGATTTCATATTCTTTGTGGATCATCTCTTCCACTATGCAAAATCGCGTTTCGAAAATTCTCGGTTTCAATTATTGGTGTCATCTTTTTTGGTTAGCACCACCATGCCCGTTTTCCAGGCCTTTGCGCATCTGCCTGGTTGGGGCTCCTGTCCAGAACAAGGTGTCCCTTGGCCTTTGGCCTCAACATTCGCAGAGTACTTACCAACATCCCCAACTTTGCGGCAAAAGAACAATTGCATTGCGGATTCTAATCGGAATCTAGCCATATCTTTTGTGAATACCTAATCACCAATTCATACTTCTCTCCTAGGGGTAGCTCAGCTTGATCCATCTCCGTCGAAGGGCAATACTAGCTGGGTATGCCCCGCTCTAGGTCCCAAAAAAAGAAAAGTGACGTCTGTGCTCCTCCTAACATATCTCAAGAATGGCAGCGCCCCTTACCATGATGAAGGGCTCTACTGATAGTTACTGATATCCCGCATCGAAGCTGGTTCGGTCAAATTCTTGACTTGCACGTTTTGACCACGTTTGAGCGATTTGGATAACGGACAAGACTTTCGGAACAGAGGTAGTATGATGCTATTAGCAATGAATGTCCATTAGTTCCATCAAGCAACCACGGCATCAAACGCATCCCAGGAAACACAGAAGACGGCGTCACAAGTGGAGCCACTGCAGCCCTGCCCTGCAGCTGTGACTTAACACTGCTTCGTTTTAATCTACTACGTGCAAAATAGAAAAAGAAACTACCCATGTGACTCATCATAAACAAGAGAGCCAGCTGCAAGCTCCTGTCTTCAGGGCTGTTACCTCCTTGTCACATGCATGCATGAGAAGTGATAATGAGTTCGTTTCTGTTGTGGCTCGGACTGTACGTCGGTATTTTCAATGGCACCTTGTATCTCCCACTGACTGAAGGGGCTATGTTGCAATTGAAACTTGAAACTGTGACAACTCCTGAGGCTCACCCAGCGACCACGGGTGAAAGACACTTCAGCTTCTTCGAAGTCCAATGCCTGGGACAGCTGGTCTGCAGCACGGGGGAACAGTTGGTGGTGCTTTTTCGCAGGCGTCCAATGCGTGAAGTGGAAATGCAGCTGCAGCGCACTCACTGCGTGTATTAGTTTAGCAGCACAAAAATGGCAGAAACAATGGCAGGGACTGACCAGGGAACTTCTAGAAAAACCCATGTGGAGCACGGGCTGCTCGAAGGCAAGGATACAAGGCATGCGATGATGGCCTAGGTTTAGGCATGGCCTGCATCTGTTGATTCTTGAACGATTGCGTGCGAACACAGGGCACACCCCCTGATAGGCGAGCGTTTGGGGCTGTTCATCCAGGCCTCTAGAGAGTATGCAGAAACCTCCCGCTGATCTACAGAAAAGGACAGGCCAAAAGCAGCGGCAAACAGTCACATTCCCTGTCCCGGCGCTTGTCATCCACACTTGCAGGTATTACGCACAAGCATCCCACCAGATTCGCGCCTGATGACGCCCTCACCAGCACATGGCCATCGGGCAATGGCTTGATCAGCAACTCCTCCTCAAAGCGCTCCCGATCGCCCTGTTGCAAGCACCAGTGCCGATCACCACGCAACTGTGGCCTACCTCCGATCGACGACCGAAAAGCAGGCAGTGGGGAAGCCACTGTGAACAGATGGGGTTGGAGCGGCGAGATCGGCAGAGTCCAACTTTTAATTCCCAACCCACATGCGCTTGTTTTGGGTGTTCAGCTGTGAATCCCAGAGCAGCGTAGACTGTCAAGAGCGCCAAGAACGCCACCCGAAGAAACGCGGTGGCGATCGCCGTTCGCGCCATCGATCACTGCTCAAGTCGTGTTTCTCTAAGCAGCGGCGCGGGCCGAGACAGGGAATGGGACCCTGCGACTGGTCCCAACAGCCTCCAAGGCGCCCGTCCTCCTTTAACGCGCCTTGACGCTTACTGAACAGACTGTGTGCCGCGCAGTACTAAGTAGCCTGTAGAAGGAGCCCTCTTGGGCGGTCTCTCACGGAGACAGATTTTTCAAGTTTCATCCGCGATGGACGAAGATTGTCCGTGGACTGCCCGTAGACGCGCGGACAAGGCTGGGGATGGGGTGTGTGGATATTACGTCACCGCGTCCCCACCAACACGATGAACCCGAGGCCAGCCCACACCTCTCCCTGTTTCCCTCAACTCGCCACTTCCCCCGCCATTCCCCGCAGACAGGCACGCAACCAGCGCTCGGTCGCCCACGTCCGGCGGCTCCGGCCCTCAGTGCCGCACGCCGTTAGCCGCCGGCGGCCGGGGCGACCGCCAAATACGGCGCAGACCGGAGCTTTGGCGCGCTGCTGCCGCGGCCGGGGGGCGCCGGGGGGGAGGGGGGTGCGCGTGGTGCTGTTGCGCGCCCACCCGTGGCGCCATGACCTCCCACGTGTACTACTCCTTCAGCTCGTCCAAAGACCTGGACGTGGTGCGCTTCGACGGGGACTACATCCGGGTCGGTGAGCTCAAGTACCTGATCGAGAAGAAGACGGGCCTGCACCGCGACCCCACGATGGTAATAGAACTGTTCGACCCGCGCACGCTTGAGGAGTACAAGAAGGACACAGCGATGATCCAGAAGAACAAGTCCGTGATTGCCAAGCGCAGTCTGAAGATCAAGCCCAGCCCGATAATCGCCTCGGAGCGGGCCGGCGAGCCGGCGGCGCCGGAGGCGCCGCAGGATGCCGGGGCACGGCCCGAGGCGCCCTCGGCGGGGGTGGTGTTCCCTAAAGAGCCCGAGGCGCCCAAGTCGGATGCCGAGGGAGGGGGCCCGGCGGAGGGGGAGGATGATGACGATGCGCTTTTTGGCCCGGACGCTTTCGCGCCGGCGAAGGACGAAGAGGAGGAGCTGGAGCGGGCGCTGCTGGGCGCCGCCCAGACGTGGCAGAACGACCTGCTGGCTGGTGGGGGGCGGGATTTCGGCCGCGGTGGCCGGGGCTTCAGCCGGGGGATGGGCTTCGGCGGGCGCGGCCGCGCCAGGGGCTCCGGGCGCGCGTCCGGCGTGCCTCGGATGGGCTACGTCTGCCACCGCTGCCGGGTGCCGGGCCACTACATCGAGGACTGCCCCACCAACGGCGACCCCGCCTACGACTTCAAGCGCGTGCGCTACCCCACGGGTATCCCCTCCTCGATGCTGGAGCGCGACGACAACGGCGGCCTGCTGGTGCCGGGAACGGGCGAGCGTGCGCGGCTCAAGCCCAACCTGGCGGCGTTCGAGCGGGAGATGGCCACGGTGCCCAAGCCGGACAGGCACAAAAAGGCGGAGTCGGACGCTGTCGATGGCGGCGCCGGAGAAGCTGACAGGATCGAATCCGGAGCCACGGGGAAGGCAGAGGGGGAAGCGGGCACCGCGGGCATCGCGGGTGATCTGCCTTTGTCTGGTGGCGATGTGGCCGCCGCACCTGAGGGCACGGGCGAGCAGCGAGCCGCGGACGACGAGCCGGATGGGGGCAAGATGGCGGAGGGCGGTCCGGGGCAGGGTGACGGTGCCGCCGCGGGGCAGGGGGCGGGGGGGGAGGGGGGGAGGGAGCCCATCAGGTGGGAGGGGAGGGGCGGGGGCGGGAGGGGGAGGACGCTGGACGGGGGCCCGCGGCCGCCCTTCGGCGGGCAGGGCCCAGGCGTGCCGTCCTTCCTGGACCCCTTCGTGCTGGCGTACCCCAAGATCCGGGACGTGCTGCCAGCGGGGTCGCTGAGCGCGCTGAGGAAGGCGTTTGGCGGGGGCAAGCCCCTGCCAAAGGAGGAGTTCCTGGCCATCCAGAAGGAGCACGAGGAGAAGGCGTCCAAGGAGGGGTCCGCACTCCACAGCCAGGGCAGCCACGCGCAGCAGGGCAGCCCCAGCCCGAGGGGCGCCAACAGGGAGGAGCCCCCCCACGGACCGCTTGGCCCGTCCCCCAGCAAGAGCCCCGTTCCACGTCCCGGTCCTGGACGCCACATCGAAGGTCCGCGAGATGTGAGGCAGATGCCACTGCGCGGCAGGAGCCCCGGACCTGGACCTGGACCTGGACCTGGGCCTGGGCCTCGCTGGATGCCGCCACCCTCCCCTCCCTTCAACAGCAGGGGTGGACCTATGGGCGCGCCCGATTGGGCGTACAGGGGCAACCCGTGGGGACCGATGCCTTATGATGGACCATACCACCGGCCGCCCTATGACGCCCTTCATGGCCCCTATTGGAGGCCGCACCCATACTACGACCATCCACCCTTTATGCCAGGCAGTAGGGGCCACTTTGGGGAGGGTTTCGGCCGGCCAATGCCCATGAGGGAGGGTGGCTACAATGGGCTGTATCCAGATGGCTATGGTCGAGGGCCAATGCCCAGGCCACCGGATGACCACTTTGCCAGGGGCATGGGGTTCAACGACCATCCTGACGCACGGTTTGAGGGCCCGCCAGATGGTCGGCGCAGTGGCCGGCTGGACCCTCGGTTTGATGGCAGACCTGGTGGCGGCCTGGATGGCAGGCCAGATGACCGCCATGGCGTTCGCCCCGCCAGGCACAGTGAAGAAAGGGATGTTCGGGGAAGGAAGGAGCTGGATTTCCATGACATCCGGAAACGGGAATGGAGCGTAGATCGCACCTGGGAGCGAACGCCAGACAGGGGCAGGTGGCAGGATGAGGAGCCGATGCTGGACAGCCGGTCGCAGCATGGTGAGAGACCATGGGAACCGGAGTTGAAGAGGTTTTCTCCAGGGAGGAGCCTGAGCGGCAAGGATGGCGATATGGCAGATGACCGTGTCAGCCTGCCACCGCACACGCATCGGGACTTTCCCAGGCAGAGCCCGTCCATTGCATTGGATCAGGGCCGAGAAGAAAAGCCCAGGCAGGATCTCCCTGAGGGCTTTGGGAATGGAAGAGCAGCGAGCCTGGAGAGGCGGCCATTGGGTGAGGTGCCATTGGACTCTGTGCACCAGGGAAACCACAGGCCCAAAGACGGCTTGAAGGGGGAACCCCACCCTGAGCATCGCCGTCTTGACACATCACACGAACGTCAGCACAGACATCACCATGAGCGGCTGCGCAGCAAGGAAAGGGAACACTCCAGGAGGGAGGGTCGCCTGTCGGCAGGCAAGCTGGACCAGTGGGACTATGTTGACATGCGCACACCCAGGGGGCGGGTACATTCGCGGGTGGAGGTGTCGTTACGGCGGAGCACCTCAAGGGATTCGATGCACCAGTCGCTGTCATGGCCGAGGTCCAGGTCAAGGTCCAGATCCAAATCGCCATATCCACAGGAAGACATTCCACATGTGAGTGTGGTGACGTTTTGTGGTGTATCCAAGCACAGATTGGGTGTATTCAAACATATGTATTCAGCATGCGCAATGTAAGGCTGGTGCTTGATCTTGTGTAGGCTGGTGATGTATTCTAGTGACTGTGCCCTGTATTGTAGAACGTACCAGTGTACATTGATCTGGCTCAATATGTTATCCAACAGCCGATGGTACGATCCCTGAAGGGAAGGACCTGGCTGGTCATGACTGCAAACCTGTTCACTTGTGGTCGACAAGACGGGGGTAATTTATTCCAGCTGGCGCGTTGATTAGTGCTACCTGCTTTGTGACATTCTAATAACTCGCGTTCTGAATGGAAATTGCAGCTGCTCCGCATGGAGCTGTCTCAAGTCGCAGGCTGGCCGTGCCCTGAGTGTGCCTCAGTCTTTGGCAGTGCACTGTCTTGTGTTTTGAGTGTTGCTGTGACATTATGGGAAGTGGAGGGGCCAGTAGAGCTGGGAGCCTGGAGTGGAGGCATGGTGGAGGAGTGGTGGAGGGGTAGTGGAGGGTGTTGATGTTGTGCAGACTGTTGAAAGAGCATGGTTTGCGTTGTAATTGCCTGGTAGCTACCAGAGGCATGTGCCTGGTTGCATTGCCGCTGTTGCAAGCACTGTTGGAAAGGCAGTGGACGTTGAGACATAAATGTTTGCCATGGCACCGAGCCTGTGCTGCCATCACTGTGGTTAGGCGAATGGCAACTGTAGCCATGCCAGCTGTAAACTGAAGCTTACATTACATGTTGTTGGCCTCCTGGTAGAAAAACACGGGCGATGAGAGGTGGGAAATGGATGGCCCTGACCCCCAGCCTGAAGACTTCATTGCGCTCGAAGACGATGCACTCAGCAATGGCGATCTGGAACACTGGGCATCTGGGAGTATCGTGAGTGATGTAAAGTCTCACAGCACCAAACACAGGGAAAGGTGAGATGCATAGCATTTGTTTGAGCAGCCCCAGAGGATGCAAGCATAGTCAGCGGAGCTGTCAAGCCACAATCGGGAGGGTTTGGTCAGCATGGGAAGCCATTTTTGCCGTAGTTCTCTGTGTGTTTCGAGTATCTGCACACATCATAGATCAGGAATGTGTGACAGTTGGACTGTCCACTGCGCTCTCGTTTCGGCGCCTGATAGGCCCTTGTAGCTGTCAAGGCCATGTTCGAAAGCAGCTTTACACTTGTAGTTGACGGTTCTTGTACCCAGTGTCTGCAGCACAATTGAAACGTCTCGTACCCAGCCTGACAGAAGAAAGGCAGCTCTTTTGGCGCCTTGGAATACAGCAAGACGGTGTGAGCGATGTATGCTCATAAAACAGGAAAGGTGGCTGTGCTGTGATAAATGCAATAGCAGTGAAGAGCGGCTGTGGAATACTTCTCTGGAGCAGTTCAGGAGTGACCATGGACAGTGTTCACAACTTGGTAAATGTGAGGCACGGTTTCAGCTCGCATGCTAGTTTCCAACATGGTCGACCATGGCTCAACTCTGTGAAAGCGAGGTTGCATTTCGGTTTTACGAATGAGCACACTTTTTGTGGCCTCAGGTCTGGGGCCCACAAGAAGAGCAAGGGGAAGAAACGACACAGGGAGAAAACCAACAAACATGAAAAGAGCGAGAAGAGCAAGAAGAGGAGGACAGAAGGCAGCAGGAAGGAGCGCAAGAGCGGGAAGCACAAGCGTGTGCCCCACCCTGTCTGATGAATCCTGTGAGGGGGGTGGAGAGGGAAGAGGGGTGGTTGAGGCTGGGGATGCCCTCACAAGAGTTTTGCAAACTTGGCATTTGCTCCGTTGCGCCGGTGCACCCACTGGCCACGTGATGGCAGATAGCATCGTCCTTGTAGCAAAATATATATTATTTGTAACAATCTCTTATTCCACTGGCGGCCCATGCACCGCCTGTGCAGCGGTCGTCGCTGCCTGGCCCGTTTGGATGCAGCTGGCTATGCACAGGGGCTGTGTGTCCAGCAGTCGCACCGCCGGCAGGCCTGGCACTGTCTCGTGCGGCGCCTCAGGCATTGCCGGTGACAGGTACGTTGTTATGCGGCTTGGGCAAATTTGCCACAGGCCAGATGTCCGCCCCCGTGGCCCGGAAGTTCTGCTTCAATTGTCGGTTTGTGTTGCTTGGCAAGCCAAGGGGGCTGGGCCCCATTGTAGCGGATGACGTTGGAACCCTCAAAGATGGCACCATGCGTGGCATGCCTGGCTGGCTTCTGCGAACCCCGATGGCCACGCATTATTCGAACTGGAGAACGAGCCAGACGGATCGCTCTGAATGGCACTGATGAAAGCAGCTACCCTTGGGACCTGGCCCAGCTGGGATCTGAGCGAGGCGAAGTGCTCGGGCTGGGAAAGATGGAGACAGCGTAGCCCACAGACGATTTCCATGCATGCCACGAGCAAGGATGCGGCAGCCGTGGTCCTCATGGGATCCAGGCCTTTTGTTGTCGTGCTGTGAGAGTGGTCCGGTTGATGCCGTGTTCTCATCATTCCTGCCCGTGGGCTTGGCATCAGCGCAGGGCTTGGGAACGGATGGAGCGTCGGAGGAATGCAGGCTGGTTTGTGGATGGTCGTCGAAGCGGAGGGTGTGGCGATGAGGAGGCATGGGTGCGACGTGAGCCGGGGCAGGAGCGGGGGCTCCTTCACATTAGCCGGTGGGGAATGGGCGTCGTGACTTGATTATGGCAAGGCTGCTGCCTCGGTTGGGAGTGTGCGTGCTGAGACACTCTTTGACCTCGAGATGGCTGCATCGTGGAGGGATCAGTGCGGGACAGGAGATGCCAGAGCTGCGAATTGTGCAAGGACTGCCAGTTTTGCTTGAACAGTTCAGCGCTCCTTTTTTTCTCAGTACTTTACTGTAAAACTTTTCAAAGAAACGCGCAGTGGGCCATTGTGTTGCGGGCTTGGCTCTGTCGCTGTGGGCAGGACCGAACCGTTTGCCGCTGTGGGTATGGACGCAACCCATGTTCCGTGGTTGATGTCCCTGAAGACTGCAAATTACACGGATTCTTGCAGAAAAGTTTGACCGGACTGAGCTTTTTTTTATTATTTTCTTGATGCGGGTTTGGCCTCCTCCAGTGGCGCCCTCGAACCACACTTTCTTAGCCACACATCAATGTACTTGGACACTGGAAGCGCTGGATATTCTTGACGGAGGCCGGTGCCTGTCTGGGGCCACCAGTCATCACCCCTTTTCTGCGCTTCTGGACGATTGATGATGCGGAGGGCGTTCGGCCCAAAAGCCTGCACTTGAGGCGCGTGCATTGCACGAAGCATTGACATGTCAGTGTGGCAAACTTTCAAGCACCCTCGCAGTATCAAGGTCCTCTTGGGATTGGCAGTGGGGCCCCTTCAGAATTTTTCCCCCCTTGTACCAGCCACCCGCTGTATTGGCAACCCTCCAAAAGTATGCATGTGCTTGAGAAAGCTGCACAGCACCTTGGATCCCTCCGCAAGGGCTTTAACTTCTGGAGCCCGGAGGAGTGGGCGCTGGGCCGTTTGACAAGGAACCACCAGCCGGGGATCGACGGACCGTATCAATATCTTCTCTGCAACGGGGGGCGTCTGCCGGGCAATTGTGGGAGCGTGCCTTCATCGAGTCGATAAAGGGCCGCTGCCAGGACATCAGAGAACCGTTTGCAAATCCGCTTCACGAGGAACCATCAGCTGGAATACGGAAGGATTGTGCATAGGGCTACACAGCGCAGGCCGACTGGGCAAGAACAAGAAATCGTAAGCCGTGCCTTCCCCTTTGTCGTAGCTGTGACGTCTTTGCAAAGCGCATCATGGGTGCAGGGCGTCGTCTGATGCGCGCTAGCAGCGTGGGAGAACTCATGCTGGTGCACCATAGTGTTTAACGGTTTGAGATGCCACGGCATCTGCCCAGCCAGCATCTGACCTCTTTGGATGCCATGCCATGGATGCGGGAGGACTTAGGGGGGCGCAGCACGGTTGTAGGAGGGCTGCAGGGAGGCGACCCACACAGGTTGCGGTTGAGCTGCCACACCCCTGTCGCTTACAGCCGTGAGGAGGGCCCTGACTCGCACGCTCGGTGCGGGGCAGCTCTTGGTGGGGCAACTTGCGTAGGGTGCATACGGACTGGAGGACGCTTGTTGAACACATGAGTGCTCTGATGTGTTTGTGTGCGGGAGATCATCAAGTGCGATGACGCGCCAGAGGAACATTTTCTGGCTATTCCGCGTGTGGTGACAAGCTGTTATGCTGCAACCTGAGTAAAGGGCATGTGCTGGCTTTCTTTGTGTAACACTCTTGGGCTCACTTCCAAATTTGTCTTCCCTGCGCACACGTGCGTTCCAATGCCCTCCGTGGCGCCATTCTGCCGCTCTGACAGCCGTCCAGTGTGGGTGGACGCTGACGCCGTTGTGCACAGCTCGATCGGCAGCGCGCTGTTCTCGGCGTGACCAACTTTGGGCTGGAACATTCGCCTTTCGAACGCCTTGTCCGTGGTGATACGGGTCTGAACGCCACATTATCACCCCCTTCACATCCCCAGCGCAATCCCAGTCTGAGTAACCCCAGTGTGAATTCCTCTTTCACCACAATTGCAACTCCCAACGCCGCAAGCTTACCAAATAGCAACAACCCGCCACAGGTTGGCAACAACTCCGTCTACTGTTCAAACCCATGCACGACCCTCCATTGACGAGCATGCTACTCGTTCCTGGCTCGCTTGGCCCTTCCCCTCCTGCCCCCCTTCCTAAGAATCCTTTTGAGATCATTCTTCCCCAACGCCTTCTTGCCCCTCCGCCGGTTCAGCAGCTTGTGATCGAACCGCCAGTAGGCATACGGCTCCACCCCACCCTTGCTCTTGACATCACCGCCTGCGCCCTTCTTGGCCCTGAACCTGAGGAACGTGCAAGAAACAAGTCGACAACGAGGTTCCAGGTGGCACGTGCCACGGGCAGCAAAGTCAGCATTCGGCAGCCACAAATCCGAGCGACTCGATAATTTAGATGCGAAGGGCACTGTGCCCAAAGTCGCAGCAAATAGAGGGGTTGTTCAGAACATGGCTGTAATTGCTGTAACTGCATTGCTGTACGCTGTTCGGCACACAATTCGGGAGTGCATCGTCGCCACAGGACGAATCCAATGTTACATCAATGCTAGCTTATCCGCGGCACCCAAAGAGGGGTACCCTGGGGCCCAATCCATTCATGCCCCACCCCGCTGACCTATGCGATGCCTTCTTTGCCGTAAGTTCAGGGAGCCAACGGGGATGTTTCCATTCAAATCCCGTGTCGATTGTGGCCTTGGGGTTGTTCGATCCACCATTGCAACGTATTTGCAAACATTGAGAGTCCGTGCTTTGCCCGCATGTTGTTGTGAAAGCGATGCGTGAAAGCGACATATGGTAGTTGAGTCCTCGCACGTTGCAGGGGCAATCTTTCAATCATTGAGACACACCCTAGGACCGGTAGCTGGAAGAAAGCTCGTCGTCAGCTTTCAAGCGCCAGTGCACTGCGTTGGCATGTTCAGGCAGAATACAATCAGTAATCGGCCACAAGATGGCCTAGCTCTCTCGGACTGCCTTTGCCATTGATCATGGAAGCGCCCGGCCATCTGTGATGCATGGGCTCAAAATGCGCTGTCTCGTGGTACTGTAGTACATTCAACCCTTCCGCATCCAAAAGAATTTCAACAAGGCAATCAAGTGGCGGGACTCGTGTGCGCCCACCCCAGTTTGCGTCTTGACTGTGGTTACAGGACGGAATGTGTGAATGATCGCATATGGAACGCTCTGCGTATTCACCCGTGCCGTTCATCGCCACGAAAGCGCAAGCGCAGTGCGCCGTCCGTTTGGACGGCTGCAAGCAAAGGATCGACACCCCCGATCGCGAAGACGGCCCACGCGAACGGCCCCTCACCTGTCCCCGCCATGGATGGAACTCTTCGCCGACCGCCTTCCAGAAGCCACCGCGGTACTCCGCTTTGACGTCCTGCCCATCGTGAATGCTGATTTGCGGTCGTCGTCGCCCTCCGAGGAAGACGAGTCATCCTCTCGCTCACGTTTGCCGCGCCTCTTGCCCTTCAGCGTGTTCTCCTGGGCAGAGCGACGGGTACATTGGTGATCAACAGGCAATGACAACGTACGCAGATGCGTATGTGTCTGCATTCCCGGGAAAACAACAATAGAGCGGGCGACCTGCCACCTGAACCGTACCACCGCCGAGACATGGAACTGGTTTCAATGGATTGTGCTGTTGGATGGTGTTTCGGCGACGGCGAATGCAATAAACTGGAAGCAGTTCCAGTGCAGGCTTGCGTTCTTCCCAATGGGTTTGACTCCAATTCTGTCTTGGAAAACTTTCACTATTCGTTGGTCCTCAGCATGCACTTCTGCTGATTTACTTCCAAAAGACGAGTTGTATTCTATTCAATTATCGGAACACCAAACTACGTAACGATTCCTGCACACCCATATCCTGATGCCACAGCCGTCCTGGGGAGGAGATGGATGATGGTGCAAAGCCACCGACTAAGCGCGCAATGCCCAGCAACCCCAAATTGAAGTTCTTGGAGTCGTGTTGCGAAACTGTTTCTGGTCACAGAAGAAAAGGTGCCGTTCATGTCATGTTCCCGTTGCAAGCAGACACGCCGCTGCGCAGTGGCCTTCCCATTGCACACACGCTGAACAAACGTCCGAGTGGCAGCACCCATCCAATGTCTTGAAAGCCTAAGCCTCTCCTGCTCCGCCTTTCGATTCCCATCCCGTTCCTATTTCAACTCCCATTCCCGCTCCTATTTCTCTTCCCATTCCTGTACCTTGTTATAGTCCTGTGTCTCCCATTCTCACAAGCAGTTCAAAGTACCAGAAGGGAAGGTGTGCCCAAAACCGATCAGGACAGCCTGCGAGCCTGTGACTAAGGCTAGCAGACTGGACTAGCAGGTTCAAAACAACGCAGTACTCCCAAATACCTACAATTTATTCACGTGTCTGGATGCATAATTGAGGCTAATACTTTGTTCACTGACACAATATGGCTTTAGACTTGGTGTACGTTGTGAGGCTGCAGAGTGGATCTGTACTGCCCTGTACCAAGGACTATTGGGAAGCCAAAACGAAATAATTGAAAGCTTGAAGTAAGCTATGGTGTGCTGTACTTTGGTACACTGCAAGCATACTTTGCTGTGGATAACAAGAGACAAAATCGAGAGGGGAAGGTAGCAGGTATGGTTCTTCAGACTGTCACTGGCAACAGCATGCTTTTCCAATCTTCTTACATTGATTATCAGCCGGCCTTCGGGATCCGCTGGTAAATCCATGTCGTCGCTGTCCTGTTCAGGATTCACGGCGCCATCAGCAGCCATCCCAGCGCCCACCTTTGCAAGTTGGCGCGAGGTCGACGCGTTCAGCAAGTCGAGTGGGTCCCCTCCAGCTCCTGGCACCCAGCAACAGGAAGGAAATTAACAAGGAACAAAAGACAGATGGAAAAACAAACGACAAACAAAAGCACTGCAGGATGGTTGAGAAATGACTTTTGCGGTAAGCTTTGTACTTGCTTCAGTGCTCCTGCAACAGCGGTACCCAGGACCAGCAACGGTGAGACGCGTCACTAAATATCATCGCCTGGTTGAAGCTGACAGCTCCCATCCTGCCGAACAGGTCTTGTTCACGCCATGTGCCCGAAGCAAACAGGCACAGTTACGTCTGCATCGTACAGGAAAGAATAGAGTAGTGGCACTGAAGCAACGACCTGAGTGGTGGCAGAATGATGAAAACCATGCTCACCACATGCTTGCAGGTTCCATCTGCATCATTGAAAGCACACAGGCCCCTAGGAGCAGCAGGATTGACTGGCTTTGCTAACCTGTCTCTGGCAGCCGCCCAAACGCTTTCCAAGCTGAAGACTTCTTAGATTTGGCATTCTTGCTGACATCGGAGCTCCGACCATCCTTTCCTTCAGAAAATATCCGAGAGTGGTCCCATTCGCTTCGCAGCGCTGTCTTTGCAAGCCCACCTCCGTGACCATCAGTGTACGTGCCATCAACACCGTCATCCTTTCAGCACAACCAGAAGCAAACTGTTACTTGAGGGTGCAGTGGGATCCATAATGTGTGCCTGACCTGACCAATGGAGCAATGCCACAGTGTTAGCGATGTCACAAGCACCCAGGCTGGACCTGTTCCTGGCTGGACATCAGGTATCAAGCTATCATAAGTGAATGCCAAACGAACTGGCAGAGCACCTGCTGCACTCCACCTCTCTGCCTGGATGCTGGTGCACAGTGCTTCATTCGATTATCCACGTTTCGAAGAACAAACAACTAAATTCAGTGCACACTTTCAAAGGGCACACAGCAGATCAGCGTGCAGACTACTAACAAGACTGACTGACTGACTGACTACTAACAGACTGACTTCCTGGCTACCAACAGCCACCAAACCTCCATTTCTTCTATTCTTCGAAGCCTTTTGACATATTAACAGAAGCGCACCTCATCATCCTCATCATCTGCCTGCTTCTTCTTTTTCCTGAGCTGACCCTTCCTGATGTTGGCAAAAGGCTTGCTGTAGTCCTCAGGGATCAATCTTTCAACCTCTTCAAACCCACATCTCACTGCCAGCCGCGTTATGATAGTCCTCACTTTCATGCGGAATTTGTTTTTTGGATCGTTGCCCCACAAGAGGATGGCGTCAATTATTAGCGGCAGGTGATCAGTGAGAGTGGCGACCGGCAGGCGTCTGGTGCAGACCTGAAGGACAGGTCACAGAAGGAAACATGGGTGTACAAGTGCGCCCTGCCAAGAGATTACATGCTCACCATCCAGTTGCTTGCACTCAGCCCTTAGAGGCTAACAGACTCCATATGGGCACATGCCAGTGTCACATGCATTGCTGCCACGAATTTCCAGCAGATGCCAGCTCGCAGTGGAATCCTTGAGAAAGCAGTTAACCAGAACAACAGATGTCCAAGGATTCTGCGGCTTCGACAGATACAGAACAGCAGTAGGCACAGAGAGCCACAAACAAACAATAAGCTGCTGCTGCTGCTGCTGCTGCTGGACAGGTGAATGTTGGCAATTGCAGTCCATGCATCCCTGCAGTTCTGAGCTTTCTTAATGAGCAGACTTGAGCAAGCATATTTGACAGACACCATTGATGGTATTGTGCTCCCCATCTCCTTGGAGTGGTGTGCTTTGTACTTTGACTAAGTTGATCAATGGATCAACGTCACAGTTCTGGTAGGCTGTGATGTCCCTTGCTCAGCTGAAAGTGGCTAAGATTATTCCCGTTTCTACTGTGGTCTCTCCAACAGAAATCACCACTGACCTGCACAAAACCAAGCACTGAAGCCACCACCTCCCTTGACTTCGTTTGCAGAAGCCTCAGTACCAGCTCCAAAATCTGCGGCACCAGCAGCTCCAGGTCTGACGAAAACTCGTAGACCATCCGAGAGAGGGCACAAGTCGTGGCACTCATCATGTGAGGTGTGGTCCCAGCAAGCCCTGCCAAGAGCTGGGTTACCAGCTGAGGGAGAGTAAATGGACCTAGCAGCAGTCACAAGGTCCCGGTTAGGATTCGTTCTACTCGGAACCTGGCCACCCATGCAGTTGGCCCCGTTGTGTTGCCCAACAGAGTGAGACAAGTCCAAGAGTGGCCAAATAGACAAGGATGCTGACTGTAGATGGAGCAGAATGAACCAGCAAGGACACGAAATACAAACGCACTTGGAGACAAACGCACTAGAAACAATTGAGAAGAGATATGCTGAGAAGAACTGTACACTGTTAAGCTATTCCGCAGCAGTCACACAACAGAAACCATTTTGGATGGGGTTGATGCATACAAAGTGGATGCATACGAATAGCTAGCCTGAAGGCTCCAGGGCTCAAGTGTTGTTCACATACTGCCCTTCAGTGAAGGCCTGCATAGAAGGCCAGCTGTTCTGTGAAGAAGGGGTGTGTGCCGGATCGTTTTCAGTCTAACCTGCATCTTTGTGCATTCTGCCCAGGTTGACCAGCACCTCATAGGCCTGGTCCCTTGCTTTTGCATTTTTCTCCTTGATGCAAAGGATGATTTCTGTCAACAGAGCATCCACAACCTGATAACAAACAGGACAATCACTCTGTCATTTCCTGCAAAGTGACAACACACAGGTAGCCCGAACAACAGCACAGGGTTCTCTGATGTTCTTTTCCACATCTTCCTCATTGTCTCTGCAAAAATGCCACTCCGCGCATTTTCCCCTAAACCTTGCACCCAAGACAGCACACAAGTGAGCAAGGCTGATACAATCATCACATGGTTGGCACCAGAGAGACTAGCCCACCTGCACAAAACCCTTGTTGTCTGCCATCCCATCCATAACCTCATCACTACCATCATCGATGGCGGTTTGCGTTGTTCCAGAGGCTGATTTCGCCATCGCAGCTACAATTATTGGGTTCAGGCACTGCAGACGGAATCTCTTTGCCGGGGAGAGACATGTTGAGCCGCCTCCCAGCACAGTACCAACAACATCCTGCAAATCCAGGCACCCCGGCAGCGTCAACAAGAGGGACAGGCCAAAGTCACCTTTGTGCCAATGTTCTGTGTAGCAGCACATTGCCAGGGACATGCGGCCCAGGCAACACCACAAAATCTAGCACAACAAGTTGCAAGCTGCATTCATCGTACCTGAAAGTTTTGCAGCAAGAAATGCTTTCTCTCATTTGTAATATAGGCCAACAGCTTGTATCCCTTTTTCTGCACTGCTGCATCCTTATCCTGCAACAGAAATCAAAACGCACGCTCGATACCCTTCCGAGCCTTGAGTCAAATATTGCTTTTTGCACATGGTTACTGCAGTGCAGAAACATGCAAACTGCGCTTTGGTGCAAGCAGGTTCAGCACATTTACCTGTAAGCCCTGCTTCGCCACCTTGTACAGAGTTGTGATCCCTGTATCATCCAGGCCAGCAGCAATGCATAGCGCAAGCTCCATGAAAGTAGAGCGAGCGAGCATCTGGTCTGCCTCGCTGCCACCCTCCCCAGACACGTCATCCTCGTTTTTCAAGTTCTGTATGAGCACACCATTCAACGCCTGTGTCCACATCGTCCATAACAAAAGTGCCAGCAGCCTCTGGGGACAAAAGAACATACAGGTGGGTGTCCGTGGCAGGCAAACTCAAACTGAACAGGTAAGGACATGGTTGAAAACGTTGGGATGATATTCAACAAAAAAGTGCCAGGGCCAGCTGTGAATGATGTCGGTACCTGAATCAACTTTGTGATGACCATTCTGAAAAAGTCTCCAAGGATACGTGGTTCACAGATGGCTGCATAGGCTGTGAGAGCCTGGACAATGGGAGCACGATCCCTGGGCTGCGTCTCCACAAAAACAGTGTAGAGGGCTTGGAGCCAGTGGGCAGAATGTTCTCGAAGGGATACAACTAGCCTGCACAACAATTTCACAACAATTTCACTTGCCATGAGAGACACCTCAACTTCCGTGCCTGAAGTTTGGAACCACACCATCAATATTTTCCAGAGCAAAATGCAGCAGACACCAAAGGACCTTGACAAATAAGACAACAGCATTCTGCAAGGTGCATTTAGGTGGCAGCAGCACAAATTCTGAGGAGTTGTATGCCTGACACCATAGCGACTGTGGTAAAATCCAGACCTTCTTACAATGTCATGGCCTCATAAAGGAGATGAAGTATAAAACACCAGGCCAACCCATGACCCGCAGCAAGCATCAAAGAAACATTCAATAGTTGCACGTCTCGCAGATAGAAATGACACACAACTAACCTCTTGGCCACTTCGACTGTGAAGTAGCTTGGAGGTGAGCCAGCATCCAACTCTGGATCCCCCATGCTGCCAAGGGCCTCCACCACGACCCCTGGCAGGTCACAAAAGCCAGCTCCTTCCCTGGAGTCCTGCAGGCAGGCAGATCAAAGGACCACAGCTTGCAAACTGTGCATCGACTTGGCATAGGTGTTGAACATCAGAAAGCTGTGCAACCAAGCTGTGCAGTTAGGCTCCAGTGCAATCCACACTTACCTTGAGAATGGTGTGGCTCTGAGCACACAGCCGTACAAGGGCATGGCAAATTGGTGGCCGCAGCTCCTGGCGCTTCTGGAAAGCTATCCCAATCGTTTCCACATGTTTCCTGTCGAGTCAAGCAGCATATGCTCAGGCAAGTTGCAGAGTTTTGAGGCATCCCACAATCGCTGGTAAGTGTTGGCAAGTAACAGGGAGGCAGCGCTGAGGTGCAGGATGCGAAGATGTTCAAGTCAGAAGGCACAGGGCAGCCCAGGCAACATGGATGAAGCATGACAGTGATCACATGTGCTTGCAGTATTCCTGTGTTTGTTGCTTGGTGAGGATTGCCTCGATAATGGTACACTGACACTCAATTTATCAATGCCTGGCATGACAGCAGCCACATTTCATGAATCACTGTCATGGACTGTGCAACCTATGGAGCCCAACCACCACTGCCAACACGCATTTGGCTTATAACGCAGCAGCGCTTGCACACAGCTACACAACACTGCTGCCCCACTGCTTCATGGTGCCAAGGAGCTGGCTTGAACGCTGATCTACTCTTTTGGTCGTCTCTGCAATGAACTAGCAACAGCTTATGCACAAGGCCGGCGCATCGCACAGGGGATGTCGTGTTCACCTGTATGCCACATCCCCATCTTTTGGCCATATGCAGAATGAAGGCAGTGTATTCCAAATCTGGCGTTCCAACGTGAGACACAGCATTGCGCGCTGGCCCCTGCCAGCTTGCTGCAGAGAGGCTGCCCTGTTTCCCAAGGCACGCCCTAATGGCAGCAGCTCACTTCCCCAGCACTCCAAGCTGGTGCGCTGCACGTACTTCTTCAACAGCGGCAGCATCCATGGCCTTGCTTCCTCATCACCATCAAGACCCTTGACAGTGGCAAGCAAGGAAACTTCAGGGCAGGGCCAGCAGCAGAATATTTCAAAGCGATGAGAGGAACTGGATTCAATGAAGGACAGAGTTGTAAAATCTGATAGCTTCACAGCAATGCCCTTTGATACACCAACAAAGCTAAGAGCAGCACAAAAAAAATCCAACCAAAATGGGAGCAACAATATTTGAGTTACTTGCTGCTCTCCAATGTTACTCAGCTATCCCAATTAAAAGTGTCCTACAGCCATACCTCGATCAGTCTTAGTGGTAGCACACTCAGCACCTCCATTGGTCCACAATTCCTAATCGATGCTCCCAACGCTGACTCGGCAACACCGAGATAGTGCTTCAGTGCCTGGCAGTGTAACAATTGAATATGTGACCCAAGCAGAGATGATTCGCATACTACTTGGAATAGCACTTTCAAATACTCAGTGCAGCCCTGATTGAATATTCAGGCTGTCAATTACAAATTCCGCCGAAGCTGCAACTGTGGATATGCGTTGTCTCATGGACATCGCAGTGCACATTAGCAAATTGGGCAGCATATTGTTGGACAGACAAGCAATGATGGTGCTGGTGCTCGTCAACCAATAGCAGACTTGCAAACAACTACTTGATGCAAGTCTCCCACGCACTTGAACTGCATGAAAGCAAAACATGGACATGGTGCTTCCCAAAGCAACGAAACTTGCAACTCCCAGCATCCACATGCAGTGACTTACACAGTTTTGACAAGGCAGTGAAATTCTGCAGCAGACAATACCATTCAGTGCAGCATCAACAGATAAACGATTTGAGCAGCACATTCCACGGAGTTCATTATGGACACCAGGATGCAAAAATAAAGATAGAACACAGTGAATTGCTACCTCGCTGGTGTTCCCTTCTTGCTCAGCTTCCACCAACCCGCCATACACACACCCCAGCTGCTGAACTAAATCTCTTGCCAGTGCTGCACCTTCATGGCCCAGCTTTTCGATGAGAGTGCTGACGACTGCGACACAGGATTGTCAATCAACACAATTGCACACAAGGAGGACACCTGCATCCAAATGTCACAAACTTACAAAGTGTACCTCAAGTCCTTCATACCCTTGCACAGTGCACAGTTACAGTATATGAGACCCATTGTGTTGGCCGCATGTACTCCAAAGCTTGGAGCTAACCTTGCCACACATCACCAGCATGCACAGATGCCAGAAGAACAAAAAACAAAAGGCTGCCAGAGACATTGGGTCCAAGTGCTGCAGACAATCAGGTCATACTTCGATTGCACCCCAACCACAATCTTTTACCAAACGCAAACTTTGTAGTCTTGCAACTGGCAGACCTTATCAGCTCGTTCCACAATACACCATCAGTGTTGGAAGCGCGGTAACTGGGCAGCCCATTGTCCAAGCCCCCAGCCAGAACGCCACAAACTGCATTGTTGGCAACAGGGCTGAAAGGGCAGCCCATGGAAAAGAGCTCCCTCACTGAATTACCCTCTGCCCAAGCCAGAGGTGAGGCTGCAGCAATCCGCAATTGAAAAATATTTGAGGCCCATTGGGACTATGAAGCTCTTCTTGTTCAATCAACAATGAAGACAATGAAACCCCAGGAGCGCAGTTGAGAATGGTGACAAGGTAGCCTTGCTTGTCATCATCGTTATGGCAGTTGCTGTTCTTTAACATTTTTTAACACTTCCAAGTCAGCACAAGGGCAGTATGGCAACTGACAATAGTGAGCGGGCATTCACACACAGCCATCCTCAACATCACACCAGCCAGATTACTACTTGCATGCGGGCCACTGGGTTGCAAGGGTGCTTGCCTGAGCACAGAGCACGAATTGTGCAGTTTGTCAGGATACATAAGCAGGACATGGGGACAGGAGAAAGTCGGGGCCATTCCAGCCATGCTGCCTTCTAGCGGCTATGGTTGACGGCAACTCTTCGTTCAGGGAACAAAAATGTGATTATGTCAGTTAAATTTCTCAGAAAACAACATTTTCAAAAGCAGATTCTAAGAACAAAACATCAATAATGGCACGCCAAAGCCGGGTGCCCTTGTTAGAGGCAAAACACTCTGTGACCACCAGCTTCCCCCCAAGCTGGGGTGTCCCCAGCTGCAGAGTTAGCAGCCGGGAAGTGGTCTGAGGTTCGCGGCTGTTTACCTGGCAGGGCCATTCCCTGAGTGTCCTGGTAGCGGGGCCCAAAGCAACTGGCCACGGCCGCCACTATGCTCACCATTGGTGAGGGGGCACCCGTGGAGGAGCTGCTGACGATTGCAGCCCGGACTATGTCATCAGTGAGGCACGTGGATAGAAGGGCAACAAGGGAGCGTACACTGGCATATCGGACGCCATCATGCTCTGCACCAAGCTGCAGAGAAAAGCACAGGGAACATCAGCCCAACAGCATAGTATTGTACTCTGAGCAGCATGGAATGAGACAATCTTATGCCACACAGTTGACAGTGTGTCATCACTGACATCATCTAGTAGTCGCAGGGGGATCACTCTGTGATAATGTGAAGAATGCACTTGAGGAGGATTTCAGTCACAACATTGGGATCAGGGACCGGGACACGTTTTGTTTTTGACGTGTGGGTCATCAGTGCGGACTCAAGTGAAGCTATCCCATCATGAGACAGACGAATGGCAGATGGGCACTTCAGCATGTTCCCATCTGGAGACAGCTGGTCACAACTCGATGTCTGTTGCCCTTGCGCAAGAAAGTTGTGAAAGAGGCACTGCGACATCCATGCATGCATCTTCCACTTCTTTTAGTGCTTCGCATATACAGGGGAATGTGGTGGGAATGTTGGGGACTTGACACAAGCTGAAGGGTATGTCATGGACGGAAACTGTAGAGTTCTGTCTGATACAAAGATGCCATGAAGATGCATATCGATTTTGGCGCTTCTACTTTTCGTTCAAGAAGGTTTGACATTGACCACTGTGGAAACCCCAACCCCTCATCGCAGGAGAGCATTCTCCCCTTAAGCAAAATACAGCAAGGCAGCAGAACCCCATTCAGAAATTGTGATTCTGCTATTTGAAGCACAAGAGTAAGCAGCGGAAGACCAGGCTCTGCATTCGTTCAGTACTCTGCACTTTGAACAGTTGACTCTTGCGAACCACAGGAACATAGGTTAAGCAAAAAGTGCTTGTCTGGAAGCAATAGTGCCATTGAAAGTCCTCCCTCAGCTGCGTGGTAGCCATATGAGTATAGATTTGCCGATTTTCACTTCCATATTCGATGAAATCCTGCAGCTTTTTACTTTGATTCACAATCGCAGAGCTACATGTACTGGCTGGTGTGTTTCTCCTGGAACAGCAATTGACCTTTTCAACCCCTGGACATTCCAGTCTTGATGAAGCATTTTCCTGTGTCAAAGATCTAAATACACTATAATACAACACTCAAGAAGAGCAGCAGAGCACTTGGGTCATTGGGGAGAGCACGCCCTGCGCACCAGCTGCACCAGGTAGTGGACAGCACCCGGCAGCTGCTGCAGGCATGTTGGAGCGTCCAGCTGATGGAGCCGCTGGTAGCCAGTCTGAATGACTCCAGCGAGCGCGACACACACTTCGTGACTTCTCCTCTCATGCACAGCCACTGAGTCCCCCAGTGCCTGCATGCAGCAAAGAGTTTGAAGAAAGGCAATCACGGCATCATCAACGGGCCAAAACCGTACTGGTGTCCCCCCACAGCTGCAGGTTAGTTGAGAGTGCTTGAGAGGCAGGAAGCAACGCTGATGTCGTCTGAATCGAACATGAAGCCAGCAACCCTCAAGAATGGAGAGGGAATGGGGGAACGGAAGAACATGGCAAGCAGTAAAAGTCCCTCATTTCACACAGGCAATCGAGGGGTGAGAGTCGAGAAGAGCTGTGGCTATGCTGGAGGATGACTTTTACAGGATTCAGAGAACGTCAATGGTTTCAGTTGCAAATGGATGTGGGCAGCCACTTGCAGTGGACATTCTGTGAACTGCCATTCACATTTTGTAGTAGCACTGCATTATCAGTGGCAATGTGGAGTGTTCAATGTTATTGCATTGGTTGCTTCGTTGCTGCCACCTGCTGCCAGTACTGGTGTTTCCTTTCCAATTTGGTTGGCTTCCACCCCGTCTTTTCTAATTTCAGGGCTTTTGAAATATTCTCTGCCCACCCCTTGAATCAAGGGCCCAGAGAATGTGACCTTCCAAGTCCCTGTGATGATATCTGCTGTTCTGTTTGAGGGTACAGTAAATGGATACTAGCGGGCCAATACAGTTTGCAATGAAAGCATACAATGGACGTCATCGTCAACAGTGGCAACAAACAGGGCTAACAAGGCACACAAAGAAGTCGGAATTAGTACAGAGAAAGGTTTTCTTGTCTTGTGCATGTACAACCATCTGCAAACGAAGCTCATATACAACAAATGCCCAACTTGCTACTGTCTCAATACATCTTATGCCATCTTTATTCCAAAACATAATACATGCATGGATTTAGTACGTACTACCTCCATTTCACATGTCGTGTCCGATCTCAAATTCTTGCTACAACTTGGCAAGATCAACTCAATCAATGAATCTGCCATATTTGGATTCTTTGGTTGATTTTAGGTTGATGTGGATCTTCGCTATGTTCGTCACCAACATGCAATACGGCGTTTAACAACCCTTTCAATAATGCCCCTGTTCAATTCCATGCAGGTCCTCAGTTCCCCGCATCGTTGCAATGGCCATATTCGGGTATGTGCCAACCCAATGCACCAAAGTTCATTGTGAATTTTGTTGTAGAAAACATACAGTTACTACTATACTCTTTTAACATTTTGATACCATGGCTATCACACTTTTTTGGGATCATCTCTTCCAGTATGCTGAATCGTGCTGCTGACAATCTTGTTTATGACAATTGGCCACGTTTGCTTCATTCTAGGGCGTTTTCTTGGTTGATGCAGTAAGTGCGGCCTTCAAAACCTTGGCACATCTGAAAGATAGATGCTCTTACAATGATCAAGGTGTCTCTTGGCTTTGGACCATCACTTGCAAGCAGTTATTATTACCCCTAAGTTTGCAGCGAACTCAAATCCTTTTCCATGCAGATTTTGTTTGGGATCAAGCCGAATCTTCAGTGGGTACCAAACTGCCAAAGCACACCTCTCTCCTAGTCACAGCTCAGATGAATAAGCTCTTCTTAAGGGCAAGGCAGAAAAGGCTGTACCCCATCCAATGCCCAGAAAAATTGAAGAATCGTGTTTCACCTTTTCTTGAAATATCACAAGAATGGCAGCACCATTTGGAACGTTTGGGGGCTTTACGAGTAGCTCTTGATTGGCGTTTCAAAGTTGTTTCCGTCAATTTTTCTGACTTGCACGTTTTGATCTTCGTTGGGGCAAATTTGAATTCAGACATGACTTATGAAACAGAGGTAGTATGTTGTCAAAATTATCAAAACGAATTTGTGGTTAAGACACACAGAAGTCAACTGTGCAGTGCCTGACGTCACTTTTGTGGAGCTCCCTGCATTAACCATGCAAGTCAATTGGCCAAGTTCAGTGCAAACCTTCAACAGCTGCGCCACAAGTCCCGGTGACAGCTGGCTCTGGGGTGAGTCCAACAGCGACCGCAGTACATCGGATGTTGTCAATGAGAGGAGCTGCTGCTGAAGGGGATAGAGGTTGAAGAGCAGGCCACAGATCTTCTCCACTGTGACACCTGAAACCCACAAAACCCAACACCATGGGAATCGCACTCACATGCACAGTTCATTTGCCCACGGCCTCTTCAGCAGACAACTTGTGCACAATACCCTGCAATGTTGACGAAGAACTCTAAATACATGCAGACACTATGTGCAGTGTATGTAGCCAGCAGCTGAATTCAAATGTGACCTTTTGGTAGGCCACCTCCAGAATCTTTTACGCCTGAACTGAGCATGCTGGCGTGCTGGTGGCGATTATGTCAGCATTATTATGCACCAAAATACACATGGAAGAACGTGCATCTCTGTAGAGCAACATGAGCTGAACCCAGTTGCTACGTGTGTTGCAGTCCATGGAGCCAACCGATGCCAAAAAGACATTCTGTTAGTGCATGACCCTAACGACCCAATCCTTAAAACCCAATTGCAAAGTTGGGTGGGTCAATTGATGACAGGCTCACCCGTCAAAAGAGGAAGCACCTCCTTTAGGCAATTCAGCAAATGCAGAGCTGCCACCACAGCCTGCTTGATTTTCTCCTCAGCAGCGGCGCGATCCTTCTTGGCAGCTTCTGCCGCAGCTTTGGCAGCACATTTTGGCTGTGACAGTACTGTGCCACAAACTAAGCACACACAATCCAACTCAGGCCTGGGAACAACAACCCAAATGGAATGCATATCCTCAAATCTGGAAAAACTGGCCCTGCACCTATTGAGGGAGATATTGGACATTCTATCTGACAAGTGCTTGTTTAGCAGTAACAATTCCCTGACAAGAAGCAGAACTGAACAGTTTCCCACTGACGCGATCCTGCAACACCTGCTTCCCACAATTGCAGTCATAGTTTGAAAATGTTGAAAAATGTGATGTGGATATGAGTTGTGTGGTGCAAATGGTGCATACACAGCATGGACATGGCAACAGTGATTGACAGGGCAACGACCTGGCATCCAACTGAGTATTGCGCATTTAGCATTGAGTGCATCATGCAAGCCTTGCTGTATGATCTGTCTCCTGTGCCTCTGTGGCAATGGATGAGAGTGTGCCAAGAGCTTACAAGTGTTGGCGGTTGTCACGCACGGTGGGAGAAATCCAAAAGGCAGTGGAAGTGCTGCAGTAAACAACACAAATCGCTAATGCACAATCCAGAACCTGCTGTCAGCAGAATTCGAATTCAGCATTCAAGGCCCTCTGCACTTGCTCACCTGCCTCAACCTCGTTGCTTGCGAGCTGCAGAGCAGTGTGTCCCCCAAGGGCAGCAAGGACATCCATCACCCCAGCGACTGCCTTCTTTCTGACCTTCGGTGTTGGATGAACCACAAAGTTTAGCAACAGGCTGAAGTCACGGCTGCCCTCACCCCAGTCATCTTTGTCTGCCGCCTTAAGGAGGGGAGGCAAACACCCAATGGAGGTTTTGACAGTGGCAGGCTGAACAGAACAGGTAAACCAAATGTTAGCTTCCGCTCAACTGGGATGCACAGCTGGTCTGTCCGAAATTCTTACTATGACAAAGACCCACAAGCATCCTGAATGTCACATCCCATATGTCAACAACCGGGTGGCTAAATTTGGGATCATGCAGCGCTTGTTGCTAATTTCACAACTGCTTGTTGCCTCCTGCCTGTGATCGCCTTGGGAGTGCAAAGCAGGTGCTTTACAACTTCTCGACAGAGCCACCACAATTGCTTGCAAATTGTGGAACCAACTTACAGTTCCCGCGTGATTCACATCACCACCCAAATTGCACCTGACAGCGCAGTGTAGCCGTGTTGCACTGGTGCAGTGGCACTGCAATGCACAGACACAGGTGTCTGCACAGGCCAATATGTAAGCCTGGCGACCGTGCGTAGGCAGTGGTACTGTGCCAATATATGCACCCCTGTTGTAGTTGTGCTTTTGGCATTCGTGCAGAACTGAATTCAGTACATGAACAGCCTAGCTCTTGCCTCCATCCGCATGCTTGCCCCGCACCAACCTTATCTTCGTGCCGCTGCAGAACTCTCCTCATGAGAGCCACCGCAGGCTGCTGTTTGCTGCGCAGCACTGAGCTCGGCATGCGCACCAACGCTGCGCTGAGCACAGTGCACATGGCGGCAACAACCTGGAAGACCACAGAAATGTTCACCCGGACACATGCCACAGAAACTACACACACTGACAGCACACACGCGCCCAAAATCTCGCACCGCCGCCCTTCAGACTCGATGCTCCCTCATGACCCCAGAACGCAGGGCTGCCAAGGGCCGCCGCACACCTCTGCGACCATCCCCCCCGGCATTCGGCTGAACGCCCGGCCAAACAACCGGATCAATGCTGGGCTGGTTGCGGCCACACCTGAAAATTCGTGACCTCGGCCGGGCCGCAGAACGCTCCCACCAATCCCAATCAAAAATACAACAATCCCACAACAGCGACGACAATGGACGCCCAGCGGCGCCTTCCGCCCTCAGCTACTCGCCTCTGGGCTTGACAACGTCTCCTCCTTCTCTAGCGACGCCAGTATCGCCGCGAAGACGGCCGTCGGGCTGGGCGCCAGCCCGCGCTCGCCGATCGCGTCTGTCACCGCCCCAAGCACCGCCATGACCTGGCGGGACTCCGCGGAGGCGCCCCCGCCGTGCCGGCGGCGCAGATCCTCACACAGGTCGGCGCACGCGCCGATCGCGGGCGGCTCTTCATCCACCTCCATCTCAATTAGACAGCGCGGAAGGGCAGGAGGGGGGGGGGAGGCGGCGAGAGGTAGGCTTCTACTTGGATGGATTTTATGCTGCCGGTGGGAGCGTGGGGACGACACAAAGCGGGCGCGGAGCAGCGAAGGGCGTTCGCGAACGAGGAGGGGTTTGAGCCAATGGGTGCCGAGAGCGCGGCCTGCGTCCTGGTCCGGCGCCCAGCCGCCACTGGAGGATGGGGAACAAAACAGCAGCTTGGGCCCAGGGCGCCGGCGAAAAGGGACGAGGCGCTGGATGATCAAATGCAGGCGCATAATGGCGCTCATTACCTTTTACCTATTAGGTATTGCGGTTTGCGTGAAGTCATCACCGTGAATTTTAACCTGGCGTGCCAAGCAGCCATCCGCCAGCTTCTCATTTTGTCCGAGCCAAGCAGTGTCCATGATTTGTTGATTGAAATCTGATGTACAACACATCGTGGTGTGCGTGCAGTCGCTGGCCCTCTGGCCATGCATGCCAGCAGAGATGAACTGTTGCGGCCCCGTCGGCAGCCGCTGGTTTCCGGAGGCGTTGGGGTCGCCCTGCCCTGCAGCTCGGCTGTTGGAGGTCAGCCGGCCCTCTCCACCTTGGACGGTGGGCGTATCCGGGGCAGTCGCTCCTGTGGTCGCGCGGTGGGCCCAATGCTCGACGGGGATCGATCCCCGGGCCTGCTGTCGGCGAGAGGTGGCGGCGCAGCGAGGCGGTGGTTCGCTGGCTCGCGGGAGGCCAGAGAGTGGGCCAAAAGTGTTACAACGATTCACTGCATGCGCGCGCACATATCGCATGCGCGATGCCCGATCGCGGGTCCATCGCAGTCACATCATGACAAGACAAGACAAGTGCGCGTCCAGGCACATTGTCACCGTCCACCATTCACCTAAATCAGCTCCACATAATCCCCGATGCTTCCATCTACCGGTCCGAATCCCATGCTAAAGTATTGCAACTTCAACTGGCCATAACTTCGCCGTTTCTACACGGAATTGGACGTTTCAGTCGCTATTGGCATCAGGAGCTCCTGGATAAGCTGATTTTGCTGTATTTGCACTTTTTTGACCAACCGCCGCTTCAGAAATATCAATTTTAGCCTAACCCAAGCAGCCACGTCACAATACTCCCCCCTTGGGGTAGCTTTCGCCCCCGAAAGCACACTATCCCATACTAGTGTCTTCCTCGGGCTTATCCCTCTTGACCATTTTCTGAAGTTCACGTGCATAGGTGAAATTTCCAGCAGGTATCCAGGAGGCATCATCAATACTCCACCCTGTCCATAACACTAAAAACTCCTTATGCCTCCTGCCACTGGGTCCTGCCCATCTCCATCGCAGCAGCTTCTCAACTTCATACGGTTCATTAGCCTCTGGCTCGATCTCGACGTCATCTGACTCCTGTGGGGTGGACCATCTGGACGATCTGAATGGTCGAAGCAAACTGGTGTGAAAGACATTATGTATCCTCCACCCTTCTGGTAGCTTCAATTCGTAGGCCACTGATCCCACCTGACGGACCACAGCAAATGGTCCTACGAACCGTCGCTTCAGTTTGCGTACAGGTGCATTTTTCAACTGTAGATGCTCTGTACTGAGTAGCACCTGTTCACCACTGTGAAACCTCTGTTCTCTGCGCCGCTGATCGGCCTGACACTTCTGCCTCTGCTGAGCCTGATGAACTGACTGCATCGCCCTTCTGAATGTTTTCTTCATCCTGCTGACAAAGACGTTGACACCTTCAATGTTGGTCTGGTCTACGTCCTTGATCAGATCCAACGGGGTCACTGGCTCAAAGCCATAGTTCAGATAAAAGGGTGTGTACCCCGTGGATGGCGATGCGCTGCTGTTGATCACGAATTCCACCATGGGCAAGTATCTCTCCCAATGAGTGACTTCCTGATTGCCATGGATCGTACACCTGAGTACTTGCTCCACCACCCTGTTGGCTGCCTCTGTCTGTCCATCTGTCTGGGGGTGGTGAGCGCTGGACATCCTCAGCTTGCTACCCAAAATCTTCCAGAATTCCTGCCAGAACTTCGACGCAAATCGTGGATCTCGGTCACTGACGATCGATCTGGGGATCCCGTGAAGTCGTCCAATCTGCTCCCAATAGACTCGAGCTGTCTCAGCAGCAGTGATGGTCTGCTGGACTGGTACTAAGTGTACCATCTTGGTAGCTCGGTCTACCACCGTGAGGATCCCATCGTTTTTCTTCTCACTGACCGGTAGTCCCATGATGAAGTCGAGGCTGACATCACTCCATTTTTCCTCTGGAAGTTGCAATGGTTGAAGGAGTCCTGCTGGCAACTTGTGGACACTCTTCTCTGACTGGCAGACCTCACATCCCAACACAAAGTCTCGTACATCCACTGTGTGATCTGGCCAGTAGAAATTCTGCTTTAACTTCTTGAGTGTCTTGTGGTAACCAAGATGTCCCGCATATAGTACTGTATGTATCTCTGCCATAATCTGCTTGCGGGCATCCTCCACATCTGGTACCACCAATCTCCAAGCTTGCCTGTCCTCGGTGTTGTCCTTCCACTTGATCTCAATGAATCCATGGTTCAATCGGTAGTCACGATTCCCGATCCTGGTGACTCGTCCTTGGGCAGATTCCAACTGATTCAAAATTTCTGCCCATCTGCTGTCTTGCTTGTAGCCCTCTTTTATAGAGCTCCTCAAGTCTTCCTCCAGAGTAATCCTGGTGCTGGTCACCAATAAAGAATGTAAAGAATTTTGTTCCCTACTTGCAGCCACCACTGCACCCTCAGGACTGGACTTTTTAAATATTTCGTCCAGTTTCTTTTGAATATCGTTTTCCCCGCTGTCACCCTCATGAAGACGAAGACGCTGGACCAATGACTCCTCTTCTGCGCGCACATCTGCCATGCATCTCAACTCCTGAATACTCCTGCGTGTCAGAAAATCTGCAAGGTTGTCCTTTCCTGGTATGTGGACAATGTCGCAGTCGTAGCCCTGCAAAACCTGCACCCATTTCCACACCCTCCTGTTCACTGCAGGTTGGTTGGGCAGGTTTTTCAAAGAATCATGATCTGTCTGGATGACGAAGTGGTGGCTGGCCAAATAGTGCCGCCATTTCCCAACAGCCCAAGTGATGCCCAGTAATTCTTGTTCATATGCACTGTACCGGGTCTCGGCCGGGTTGAGCTTTCTACTCTCATAGCAAATGGGTTGCAGCCCGTTGCCAAAGTCCTATTGTAGTATACCACCCACTGAAACGCCTGATGCATCTGTGGTAACCACAAACTCCCGGTCGAAATCCGGTAACTGCAGAACTGGTGCAGTCACCATGGCTGTCTTCAAGCGATTAAATGATTTTTCTGCTTCATCATTCCAAACGAAGGCCCTGTCCTTCTTCGTCAAGTCCGTCATGGGCGCTGCCAGCTCGCTGAACCACCGTATGAACTTGCGATAAAAACTGCACAGCCCCAGAAATGAACGGACGTCGGTAACATTCTCTGGTGTTGGCCAATTCAAAATCGCTTGGACTTTCGATAAGGATGGCTTGATCCCCTCAGCCCCCACATCAAAGCCCAAGTATTCCACCTCAGTTCTGAAGAAGTCACACTTCTTTAATCTCCCAAATAACTTCTCCGACCGTAGGTGAGTCAGAACTTCCCTGATGTGCTGTATGTGTTCCTCCTTTGTCCGGCTGTAGATCAATATGTCATCCAGGAACACTAGCACAAACTGGTCCAAGCCTTCCCTCAAAATTGTATTCATTATCCTCTGGAAGGTAGCTGGTGCGTTGCACAACCCGAATGGCATGACAAGGTATTCAAAACTGCCATATCGACTCACGAAAGCTGTCTTGTGTACATCTGATTCTCTCACTCGTATCTGATGGTAACCTGAGGAGAGATCAATCTTCGTGAAATATTTGCCCCGTGAAGTCGATCCAACAACTCTTCCACCTTTGGCAGTGGGTACCGATTCTTGACAGTTATTTTGTTCAAAGCCTTGTAATCGATGCACATCCTCCACTTGCCATCCTTTTTGGGTATGAAAAGGATGGGTGCACCGTACGGGCTAGAGCTCGGTATGATCCACCCCTGTTCCAGCAACGTGTCGATCTGCCGCCGTAGTTCATCCAACTCAGCCGTACTCAGCCCGTATGGGCTTTTGTGCGGCGGTGCCTCTCCTGGCAGTGTATCAATCTCATGATCGACTGTCCTCTTGGGTGGTGGACCATAAGGCAGCTTGCCTGGGAACACGTCCTTGAACTCCTCAAGTGTTTGCTGCAGCTGTTCCCGGATAGCCTCATCTGCCTCACTGACCTTTTTCTGAATAACCTCCTCAATTGGTACCTCTTCTGTCACTGGGCTTGTTTCTTTCGACAATCTCTGCCTTTCGCCCTCAGTCATGCCTTTGGCTGCACCAGCCTTGGACTTTGGCCTTTTGCTATCTTTACTTGGGAAGTCTGTGGCCTTTAGGACGCACAAGTACATGGGCTGGTCGGTTTTGTTTGCTCTCTTGGCTGCCTGTCTCATCGAGATGAAGTCCAACTTTTTCCTGACAGGCTGCCTGACACATCGCCCAGCCACTTTCTTTGCCCTTGTAGTCTTGCACCTTGGGGAACCCTGAGGTCTGTGAGGGTCCTTTGGAGAAAAATTTTGTGGGGCTGTACTCCCCCCCTGGGGAACATCGGCCGTCCCCGGCGATGACATCTTACTCAGCACTGACTGCTGAGTGGCCCACTGCTTCGCCGAAGAATCATATTCCCAAAATTCTGGCGAACAGAATGCAGCCAACTTTCTCCCCAAGTCTGCAGTAGGAGTCTCTGATCCCCTCTTGAGGTCTCTAAAATAGTGCTGGAGACCGTTCAATCCCTTGTTGACAATCTGGCAGTGCTTACTAGATGTTTC